TACCAAACTATTACTAAACTTATGACACAGCTGCCCAGCTGAAAAAATAATTCAGGTCATATTTGGTTCTGTGATTCCAGTGGCCCTGTGACCTTCGCCCTTGCAGACTTGGAGAGAGTGGCAGCTGCTGGGGTTTGACCCCTGCCTGCCAGTGTCAGGTGACCAATCACTGAGCAGAATTATATCTTATTTGTGTAGCATTTAGCAAGTTAGTCAGTTCAGCCAAGGCCTGTGCCAGTAAACTGTTGTTGACAGTGTGTTAATCACATTACATTCATATGGTGGGACCTGAACTGAAAGATCTCACACATCTTGTATTACAGAATCACCTTTTTGTCATCATTATTCTTCACCATGTTATTTGTGTCTATCACTCCTTTAGGAGAGGGACCACAACAGGACCACCACTGGAATATGAAAAGGAGCAATATGACTTCATATCAATATACTGTACACAACTGGTCAAAACTGTAGTGCTTGTTACGGACTCAAAGGTGTTGCATCTTAGTTGTTGAAAAGGTGGAAGATGTGCTGAAACAAGGTCTGGTAAGCTGTGGGGAGTCTTGGGAGAGGGATCAGACAACATCCTTTAAAAACTGATCCACCACCACCAGTATGTTTTTGTTACCTTCTGATTCTGGGAGGTCTGTGACAAGTCCATCGATAGGTGAGTAATGAGCTTGTGTCACACAACCTCGGGAACATTTACTTTACTAGGTGGTTTTTCCAGGGTCACCTGCTGCTGCTGCATTTTAGATCTCTTGGTCGATCTCCCAGAAGATCATATTGACCGAGCAGGTGTGCTCAATAGAGATCTGTTCTTTGGCAGGGGATGGTTCCGGATTATAAAGTCTCAACAGGGAATAAGCTTTCCCATTTTTGGAAACGTGTCTGTAAGACATGGTAAACCGAAACCTTGTGGAAAAGAGAGCCCGCTTGGCTTATCGAGGATAGGCATTGGGCCATTGCGATTTACTCCAGGTTCCTGTGGTCTGTACAGTCCAAAGTATGAAGAGTCCCTTGCATCCAATAACGCCACTCCTCAAGAGCCAATTTGATAGCTAGGAGCTTCAGGTTCCTCACGTTGTAATTCCTTTCGGCTGGAGAGTTTCTTAGAGTGAAAGGTAATTGGGAACATCTTGAGAGTAGCTCCCTGGCAGTGGGACAAAATGGCTCCCCCTTTCAACAATTGAGGCATTCCCCTCGACAATAAATGATACAGAGGGATCAGGTTTGTGAAGAATAGGGAGTTGGAGTGAATTTGAGCTTTACATAGCAGAACACCTCGTCTGCAGCAGGTGACCAGTTGAGGCAGATAATATAGATGGTCTGAAGACCTCCTACCTGAGGGCCTCCTGGATGTATTTGTCCATAGCAGCAGTCTCTTTGGTCTCCTGGGTAGAATCTGGATTTGGGAGGAGTGCCCCCCTGGCAGCAGGTCAAATAGTACAATCCCACAGTCGATGACGTGGTAGTTTAGTGTCGCCTTTCTTGCTGAAGACTTCTGCCAGATATTGAAATTCTTTGGGCATGTACTCCACTCACTGGACTGCTGGACTTTCTAAGGACAAAGACCAACACACTGGAGCTAAAGAAAATAATCTGAGCAATTGGGGGGACCAGCTGATAATATCACCTCTCAACCAGCTGATAACTGGATCATGAAATGTTTTGTATACTAGAATGCTGGTCAGCAGCAATGGACGTTATTAGGCTGGTCAGCATATGTTGTGTCTTGGATCCTGATATGCTGGTCAACTAGCATGACCATGCTGGGTGACCAGCTAAAACAGCATCAGACCAGTTTAGACCAGGAATAAATGCTTAATGGTCTGTCCTGTTTTGTTCAGCAGGGATGTCAGTTATGAAAGAAAGAACAAACACACAAAGCACAATGAAAAAGACAGGAAATGAAATTAGACAAAAAAAGAGGAAGTAAAGGAAACTTGCATGCTAACCAGCTGCAGAACTAAGGCATCCAAGGAAACTGAGAGGAACAACTTCTTGTAGAGGGGCAGGTGAGCATGAATTGAGGACCAGGTGTTCAGATAATGAGGACCAGGTGTTGGGTCCATGCAGCTAAGGATGTGGAGCCAGTAGAAATGGGGAGAGGCTGAGTGGCTGGCTGAGTGAGACTCGTTACAGTTCATGCTAGTCTAAGGTGGTCAGGTTTATGCTTGTCTGGTGTTGTTTTAGCTGGTTACCCAACATGGTCATGCTGGTTGACCGGCATACCAGTATCCAACATGCATACTGGTTTTGCTGCTGACCAGCTATGCTGGTCTGTGCTGTTTTTTCTAGCATGGTTTTTCTCCTTTTTGTGTTTTTTGTCCATCAGTGTCTCTCACTACAGTCCCTGCTGAAAAAAACAGCAATTCCATGCTGGTCTAAGCCAAAGTGTTCTGTCTTGACTGTTTTATGCTGGTCTAAGCTAAAATATCCAATATTGCCTGGTTTATGCTGGTCTAAGCTAAAATGTCCAATATTGCCTGGTTTATGCTGGTCTAGTGCTGATCTCCCTGCTAGAAAAAACATCATAGAGCAGCTTATGTCGTGTTTTGGATGCTTAGTTGCTGGGTAGCAGCAATGGAAGATCTTAGGCTGGTCACCAGCAAAACTAGCATATGTTGTGTTTTCGACGCTGGTCGACCAGCATGACCATGCTGGGTGACAAGCTACACCAGCACCAGACCAGCTTAAACCACATAGACAAACTTTTTTTTTCCAGCAGGACGACCTTGTTTGTTTCTCTTAAATCCTCTTTTTGTGTCTAGTTTTGCTTCTTGGTTTCTTCATTTTGGTTCTTTCTTTTATTTCTGATAGTAGTTTTTTGTCTTTTTCATTTGTTGTTTGTCAGTAAACCCGCTAAAGCATCCTGATTAAGGGGCAGGGTCCCAATGGTTGTATGGTGGATTTATGAAATGCATGTTGGGTATCCCTTCTAGAAAAAACAGCATAGACCAGCATTGCTGGTAACTAGCAAAACCAGCAGATGTTGTGTTTGGATACTTTTTTTTAATATGTTTTAGAGACCAGCATAAATGGCTGGTGCTTGTTTAGCTGCTTACCTAGCACACCAGCATCCAAAACACAACATATGCTGGTCTTTGCTGTTTTTTTAGCTGAGATACCCAGGATGCATTACATAAATCTACCACATGACCATCAGGAAACACACAGATAAAGAAATCCATTGATGTTCCACCGATGTAGAGGTTAGTAAATAATAAGACATGATTCCACCTCTGAATCTGTTTGGTGACCCGCAGTGTCCATTGTGGTTTATGGTAAAAACCAAAATGAAGAAAAAAGGAACCAAAACTAGACACAAAAGAGGAAGTAAAGGAAACAAATAAGCTAGTCCTGCTGGCAAAAAACAGCACGAAGAGTAAGCTAATCTGTGTTGGTTTAAACTGGTCTAGGTTGGTCTAAGCTGGTTTGTACTAGTCTAGTGCTGGTCTGGTGCTGGTTTAGCTGGTCACCCAGTACGTTCATGCTGGTTGACGAGAATACCAGCTTCCAAAACACAACGTATCATTGCAGCAGCCGGAACAAAACCTTGTATCTGCATTTACAAATTTTAAACAAGCCACTCGCTCATTACGTTGTGTGTAAATTTCATGCTGAATGGACTAAAATAAATGATCCGGAATTACTAAGAAAAATGTCTGGTTACATTGACTTCCATTAAATATAAACTGTTTTTGTCTTTTATTGTACAATTACCATTTTGGAGGTTTTGTTCAAACAGTGATGATATGCTAATTATCTGGTGATCAGCATAATAACGTCCATTGCTGCTGACCAGTAAGCTAACATCCAGAATGCAATATATACTGGTTTTGCTTGTGGCCAGCCATGCCAGCCTATGCTGGTTTCTCTAACAGAGAAGGAAACTACCTAAGGCAACATATCGCTGTTGTCAAAGAAAACCTTGTATCTCCATTTTTGTCTATTTTCAGTTTGTGACATAATTTGAAAAAGCGTGTTTACATTGTATGTAAATTTCATGATGAATGGACCAAAAGAAATGACCCAAAATAACTTGGAAAAAAGTCTAGTTCCACTGACCTACAATAAAAGAGAAGTTTTTCCTTCTCCTGTAAAGTTACCATTTTGGAGATACAAGGTTTTCTTCCGACAACAGCGAAATGAAACGAATACATGATAAGAGCTAAAAACAGCCAGAAAAGAAGACAAAAAGGCCAAGTGGCTTTGCATGGTGGTGCGAGAGCACATGGAGTAGGTGCAATGCTGCATGGGGAACTGAGGGGGAGAATGAGTTCTTATAGGGCGGCAGGTGGGCAGGTAATGAAAAGTAGGTGTTATGCTGTGTTCGGGTGCTCATTGGAAGGTTGAATATACTAGATGGTTAAGTAGGAAATACGACTTCACTCTGTCTGGTAAACCCAGAGTTAACCAGTTGTAAATATGACTTTGTTGGTTGTCAAGCACCATTTACAGGTGGGACAAATGCTATTTCCCAGTTTCTGAGCGCTGGGTCTGGAGCTGGTAGGAACATGCAGAGGCTGAGTGGCTGGATGAATGGGACTTGGTAACTGGTAACAGTTCTGTAGTGTTATGTTGCGCAGCATTGTATCCCTCAGACTCAACTGTTTGACAGAATTCACAGTTTTGTATCCTGTTTTGGTCCATCAGTGTTCTCTCACTACAATACCCAGCATGCATCTACTTGAGGGTGGGCTGTATGCATCAATGAAGGGGGCTTTCTTAGTCTTTTAACCATAAAATCTCACTCTCACGACTACTACAGCATCACTGCATGAGAAAAGTTGGCAGGTTTACAACATATGTAGCGTTTTACATGCTAAATGCAGCTTTAATGTCATTGCAAATATGTAAATGTTTGTCATGTGATTCCTGTTTGGCCTGTGATAATGTGACTCTTGCTGCTTTACTGGAACATCTGACTACATGTTCCAGTAAAACACACTCTCTGGGTGATATTTGGTCTGTATTGATCAAAGTTAATGATTTGTCAAACCCAGTTTTGGAGCCCATTGCGCTGTCCTGTGGTGCTGTGTCCAGTTAGATAACACGGAGGGAGAGAGAAAGTGAGAGAGAGATAGAGTCCACAAGACGAAGGAAGAAGAAAAGAAGGCAAGAAAAAAGGAAATAAAGGGCAGAAGAAACATGAGGACCACCTTCGTCCTTCTCCTCGTTCTTCTGCTCCAGCAGTGTGGACATGCTGTAAGTGTTTTAGTGGTCATTAAGTTGGTTTGTTGATTTGAACAAGGGGTCATTTCTGTTTACTCTGCAGTTTGTGGTAAACACTGACCTTAAATTAAACAAGTTAATCCTAATTTACTGAGCTGGAGTCATTCGATAACAGTTTTAGCTGCAGTTGGGAGTGATTATGCTAAATGTTTATGAGGGAATAATGAAAATAAGTCAGTGTAAATCTGGTCTTTGGTCTCTTATTGATCAGAGTTATTGATTACTGTGGAGGCATCAGAGCGAGTTTGCCCAAATGTAGCTTAAATCTAACATAAATAGACTAGAAATGTAATTTTTAAAGACAAAACATCAGATTTACCCAGTTTCCTCCACTCTTACTCCAAGCATAGTGGAAAAGCAGAGCCATGTTTGGTGTCTAAAGTTTGCTTTTTTAGTTTTAAACTGGAGCTACATGACTGAGAAGCATTTTTTCCCTTCATCTTCACTTCAACTTGCTATTTTTATTTTTTCTGGTAATTTTGAGTTCCTGAAGTGGATGCAAGAGTAAAATCAGTAGAATTCCTCATTAATCAAGATGTGTGTTTGTTGTCAGTGGAGTGGATGATAGAAGATTCATTGCTGCTGACATCCAAAAAACTAGCCTTTAATTATAGATTAATAAACAAAGCACTTCAATTGCTGAAAAATGCTGAAAAAGGTACAATCTTTGTGGGCCGCCATTTCTTCAGGGCCTTCTCGTCCCAATCTTCCACCCCCTTTTTGCCAGGGATGGATTACTGACCGGGCCAGTGGAGCCTCTGACTGCCAATAGATGAACAGCTCTTATATGCAATGACTAAATACAACCCTAATTACAAAAAAGTTGGGACGCAGTGTAAAATGTAAATTAATGTAAATAAAAACAGAATGCCACGGTTTGCAAATCTCATAGACCCTCATTTTATTCACAACAGAACATAGAACACATATCAGATGTTTTAAATGAGATATTTTTAATGCAGTGTCGTCTGAGGGCCCGAAAATCACGAGAATCCAATATTGACTGTTGGCCTTGTCCCTTGCAGGGACTTCTCCAGATTCTCTGAATCTTTTGATGATATTATGTACTGTAGATGGGGGGATGCCTAAAGTCTTTGCAATTTTACATTGAGAAACATTTTTTTCTGAAATTGTTCCATAATTCTTAGACGCAGCTTTTCGCAGATTGGTGAACCTCTGCCCATCTTTGCTTCTGAGAGACTCTGCCTCTCTAAAATGCTGTTTTAATACCAACTCATATGAGTTAGTTGCAAATTGCTCCTCCAGCTGTTTTTTATTAGTACCACTTACTTTTCCAGCCTTTTGTTGCCCCTGTCCCAACTTATTTTTTCAATTTTTCAATTCAGTTTTTTCTATTAAATGGCCCTTTACAGGTCTTATTTTTGTTGGTAATTTTTTGTGTTATTGTCAGAGTGTGGCATTGAAAGATCAAGGTCTGTCCCTGCTTACGGTGGTATTGTTCTGTTTGTTTACTACTGTGGGTTCAATGAACCTTTGAGGCAGTTAGGGTAGTTCTTTGTTCAGTTGAAATAAACTCTTCTGTTGTTCTATGAAAACTGTAAATGTTCTGTTTATTCAGGAGAGTCCAGAGGAGGATTCTCTTCCTAGTGGACCTGCAGGCAAACACAAAGGATCAAAACCCAGAGTAAAGCCAGGCCCTCCTCCACAGCCCCCTAAAAAAGTCCCTGATCCCCAGCCCAAGAAATCTGACCGTGACCGTCTGTCTCAGGAGTGTCTGAATGAGAAGTACACACGCCTGTCCTGTTCTAAAGTGTTCTGCCCGCCGTGGAGGCGCTGCATCAACGGGAAGTGCGTCTGTAAGCTGCCCTATCAGTGTCCACGCCTGGGCAGAGCTGTCTGCGGAGTGAATGGACAGTCCTACATCTCCTTCTGTCAGGCACAAGCCATCGCCTGCAGGACCAACACAGCGGTGTTCTCTCACTACGGCTCCTGTGACGAAGGTGAGAGACAGAAGAAGAAGAGAGGGGAAAGAGTGGGGGAGAGAGAGGGTGGAGAGAAATGGAGAGAGAGAGGATGGAGAGAGGGGAGAGGGGAGGGGGGAGGGGAGAGGGGAGGAGAGAGGGAGGGGGGGAAAGGAAGGAGAGAGGGGAGAGAAAGGCAGGGGGAGATAAAGTTAAAGAGGGGATGATAGAGTGAAGGGAAAGAGATTACGAGAGAGAGAAGGTAAGAAAGGGAGATGGGGAAGAGAGGGAGTGGGGAAAAGAAAGGAAAGAAAAGGGAAAAATGGGGGTAGAAAGGGGGGGAGAGAAAGAGAGAGAGTGTAAAGAGATGGAGGGAGAGAGGAAGAGAGAGACAGGGAAAAGGGGAAGAGGGAGGGGCAGAGAGAATAGAAAGAGAGAACACAAAGTTTCAGAAATCTTGTATTGTTTTATACAGAATAATTTATATAATAAAAATATAAATATTGAAGTACTGAAAACACACCAGGTTCTTTGGAACAAGAAGAGCTTATTAAATAATAAATAATATACTATAATTAGTAACTAATTAGTCTACTATAATTAATTATCATTCTTGATTACCATGAATGTTTTTAGAACTCAATTCTGGATACTTTTATTAGAGCTTTGTTCTTGATGTTTTACAGCTTTCTAAGTCGTTGTAGAATCTTCTACAGCTCTGGTCACCATATTAGACACATCTTAAATATCTGCCTTTTATTTATAGCTTATATAGCTATGGTATGTTGGAGAGATGGAGAACAAAGAATGACGGTGTGTGTGTGTGTGTGTGTGTGTGTGTGTTACAGATGTTTTTAAGGTGGAGCTAAAGAAATCCGGTGATCGAGAGGTGGTTCAGGTGGAAACTGTAAAAGGAAAAGCTCTGATATGTGGAGAAAAATCGTGGGACATGGCAGCAGCTAATGTTATCTGTCGCAGCCTGAAAGCAGAAGACAGGTAATCCCACCTGTACTGTCAGGTAATTGTACATGTACAGTCAGATAATCACACCTGTACAACCAGATAATTGTACTTGTACAGACAAGGTAATCTAACCTCTACAGTCAGGTAATTCCACCTGTACCGTTGGGTAATTCCACCTGTACTGTCAGGTAATCCCACCTGTACAGTCAGGTAATTCCACCTGTACCGTCGGTAATCCCACCTGTACTGTCAGGTAATTCCACCTGTACTGTCAGGTAATCCCACTTGTACATTCAGGTAATTGTACATGTACAGTCAGATAATTCCTTCTGTACAACCAGATAATTGTACTTGTACAGCCAGGTAATCTAACCTGTTTAGTCATTTTATCACAACTGTGCTATCAGGAAATCCCACCTGTACTGCCAGGTAGTCACATCTGTACAATCAGAGACTGCCACGTTAACAGTCAGGTTATTACAACTGTACAATCAGGTAATCCCACATGTACAGCCAGGTAATCACACCTGTACAGTCACGTAAACTCTACTGTGCAGCCAAGTAATCCCATCAGTACAGCAGGTTTACTATTTTTCTTTTTCTTTTCTTTCTTTTGAATTAGAGGCGCAGCTTCTATTCCAAGGATGACGTTCAAGGACCTTGAGGTTGAACATCCATGGCCATCTCAGTGCATGAGTGTGAGCTGCACAGGATCTGAGTACTCCCTGTCTGAATGTACCATCTATGAGCCTCAGGACATGAAGGAGAATACTAAGATTGCTGCCTTAACCTGCTACAAGAAACCCCAAGGTGCAGTCCCCCCATCAGAACCCACTATGGTATAACTGTGCAGTACTTAAAGGGCCCTTTCAACACCTAAATACCCTTTTCTTTGAAATAAATGATTTTGATTTAGTTTACACATGTAACATAAATGGTTACTAAGCTGCTAAAACAGCTCCTGTTTAATTCATCATGTTTGTAATGTCACAAACACAGTAACACTACCCATTTCCACTGTAGTGGTGTAGAGTGTTTTTTCTGCAGTAGAGTGGAAGATGTAGAAAAAAGCTGTTCTGTTCATGGCTGTTGGGAAGCAAATAAATCATTGCAACCTTCCAAAGGATCCACAAATCAGAAAGGAGTGTATTTCTGACAATCGCTGTAGTTTTGAAAGTGCTTTTGTGCTTTTGGTGCAGGATTTCAGCTGCTCAACAGTTCAGGGTCTCCTTTGTCGTACTTTTCATTTCATAATGCGCCAAATATTTTCAGTGGGTGACAGATCTGGACTGCATGCAGGCCAGTTTAGCATCCATTTTACTTCAGAGCCATGCTATTGTAATATGTGCAGAATGTGGATTGTCTTTGTCTTGCTGAAATAAAACGTTCCCTCGCCCCTTTAGCTCAGAGGACGTAGTGTCCATGATTTCCAAAAACAATGTAAACATTTCATTCATTGGACCACAGGACACTTTTCAACTTTGCTTCAGTCCATCTTAAATGAGCTCAGAGAAGGCGGCGGCGTTTCTGGATCCTGTTTATATATGGTTTGTTCTTTGAATGGTGGAATTTTACCTTGTATTTGTGGACGCAGCAACAAACTGTGTTCATAGACAGTGGTTTTTTGGAAATGTTGCTGAGCCCATGTGGTGATTTCCTCTACAGAATCATGTCTGTTTTTAATGCAGTGCCATCTGAGGGCCCAGAGATCACGGCCAGCAAATACTGGTTTTTAGTTTTGTCCTTTGCAAACAGAAATTTATCTGGATTCTCTGAATCTTTTAATAACACTATGTACCAAACCTGTTTTTCAGTTTCACTTTTGATTGCTAGAATTGAATGAATTGGCTGTTTACACTTAGTTTTAATTCTATTCTGGCTCTTTTTTTCTCTGCATTAGATGATGACGAGTGTCCGGAGTTCCGCTGTGTGAATGAGAAGTGTATTTTGTTGAAACACACTTGTGATGGAGTCGATCACTGTGGAGATAACAGCGATGAGATGTGCTGCAAAGGTGAATACTTTATCAGTTCTATAGCCTCAATTTAAATATATAAATATTTTACATATGGGTCGTTCCACACCAACTCACCTTAGACCTGGCAGATCATATCATATTAAAAAAAATTCAAGAAAAAAATCAGGTTAATTCAGGAAACCATACAACATTTTAGATCATAGTACATACAAAAAACTGAAAATGGACATATTAAATAACTACTGCAAGATAATATTTGATCTGCAGCACGTTTGGTCAGATTCTGATGAGGAGCGTGACCGCAGGACTACATCAGATTCTGAACCTCTTATTGAACCAAAGTCAGCTTTTTAGACAGCAGCTGCTAAATGACCTGGAATCAGCCAGAAACCAACAGAATACTGTTCAGCAAATAAGATGAGCTGTGAATGCTTTACAGACTGACTAGAACAAAACCACATTCAGCTCCATTTGGAAAATAATAAGAAAGCTGAGCTGAACCTGATATTGGGGCAGTTTTATAGCTCCATCTGTAATGCAAAAGGGTGCTATTTTTTGGTAGAAGGAACTGCTAATAAACACATTTGGTATAATTTTTCTTTTTTCTTTATTTTGCAAAACTGTTCTATATGGACTATTCTACGGAATTAGTTTAAAAGTGTGGTCTCACAGTAAAATAAATAAATAAATAAAAGGCAATTAAGTATTCAGAGCTTAGATATAAGGTTATGATCTCTTTAAACCCAATGCATTAATGGAGATAGTAATAAGCTAAATATAAACTAAATCATCATTTATAGGGTACTTTCTTTTGGGAGGTGTCTGTCCCAAACCCCAAACCCTAAATTTACATTTGTGAAAATAATGGTTACTTTTTATTGCTTTTTTCAGTGTTTTTAAAATATCTTTTTGATTTTTAACGTGAATTTGTACCACATTTTGTCTCACATTTTCATGTTACTACCAAAACACAAAGAGCTGTAGTTCATAGGCAGAGCCTTATTTTAGCCACACCCTGCATTTTAGAGCAGAAAGTGAAGCTGCATCCCTGCCCCTCATGGCTACATGGTGAGCAGTTTGATCCCATTGTTTTGAAGTAAATGGTTCCCAAAGTCTGAAAATCGATGTGGAGCATTGACTTTTGTCACCACCAAAACATATTTGTTGTGTTTTAATGAAAAATTTTATGACAAATTTTATGTTCAAAGTGTTTGCTATTCATGTACTGGCTAGCATTTTTGAGTTCTGCTCATAATTATTCATAATGTATTGCTAATGTCACTAGCGATACAAACACTACTGAAAGGTTTGGTAGGTTTCAGAAGTTTTATGATTGTTCCGTCATTTTAATAAACATAACTAATAATGTTTAATAATAATAAAAAAAAAAGTTTTTAGTCAAAAGTCCAAGACAGTTAAAAGTAATGTTTACAGTATGCATTGTCTAATACATATCTAAAGGAGAGAATTTCAGCGGTGATAACAAACCTCATTACACTCTTTTTAAACATTTTTACATTTATTCATTGTGATATAAAGAGTGAGAGTCCATGATCAGTAAGTAAAACTATTCAGCAGCTGTTTGAGAAGTTCTACTCTAAAGAGTCTGTTTTCCTGCTTATTCAACTCGTATCTCTGTTCTAATCTGACTGCTGTGTGTTCAGAGTGCCAGAGTGGGGCGTTCCACTGTAAGTCTGGAGTGTGTATTCCGGGCCACGCTGTGCGGGATGAGATCAGAGACTGTCTCGGAGGAGACGATGAAGTCCCCACCGCTGCAGTGGGACCTGCTCAAACTGGTGAGATTCATTCACTTCCTTTTTTAGCACAGCCAGTATTACATAATACAGCACAGGTGGGCTGACAGTCAGATAAAGACTCCCACAGGCCCTTGGATGTGGATGAGGGTCTAAAAGCAGTTTCTAGTGGGTTGTAATTTCTACAAACTACCATGTGTGTAAATAAAAACTAATGCTTTTTTTTGTACCAGTGTAGAAAGGAAGGGGATGAAATTCTACCTCCCAGACCACATATGTGATACAAACATTCTTCAAAAGCATCTATCGTTTTACAAGTTGAGAAGTGCTTAATATGGATACTTGTGCTATGAGACTAAATATGACAAGTAGCATCGGTCAGAAAGAGGATTTGTACCCCACAGACATATAATCTTGTCAGACAATAGCAGAACACAAGGTGCTACATTGAATTTTTGAAAGGAACTACATAAAACTGGTTCTCAATAATGGAGAGGAATGTTCCTTAACCATATTTTAAACATTTAAGCATTTGGAAAGTTCTTTGAGTTGTCATGATACACTATATTGCCAAAAGTATTCGCTCGTCTGCCTTCACATGCATATGAACTTGAGTGACATCCCATTCTTAATCCATAGGGTTTAATATGATGTCGGTACATCTTTTATCGGGTTAAGGTCAGGACTCTGTGCAGGCCAGTCAAGTTCTTCCACACCAAACTCACTCATCCATGTCGTTATGGACCTTGCTATGTGCACTGGTACACAGTCATGTCGGAACAGGAAGGGGCCGTCCCCAAACTGTTCCCACAAAGTTGGGAGCATGAAATTGTCCAAAATCTCTTTTTTCTGCTGAAGCATTAAGAGTTCCTTTCACTGGAACTAAGGGGCCGAGCCCAACTCCTGAAACACAACCCCACACCATAATCCCCCCTCCACCAAACTTTACACTTGGCACAATGCAGTCAGACAAGTACCGTTCTCCTGGCAACCGCCAAATGCAGACTCGTCCATCAAATCGCCAGACGGAGAAGCGTGATTGGTCACTCCAGAGAACACGTCTCCACTGCTCTAGAGTCCAGTGGCAGCGCTTTACACCACTGCATTCGACACTTTACATTGCGCTTGGTGATATAAGGCTTGGATACAGCACTATGTGCCTCAGCATCCGCTGACCCTGCTCTGTCATTTTATGTGGCCTTGCTGTCGTTCCCAATCACTTCCACTTTGTTATAATACCACTGATAGTTGGCTGTGGAATATTTAGTAGCAGGGAAATTTCTCTACCATCCTCCATCCAGGCTATGCCATCACGCTTCATCGAGTTGCCTCGACTGCTGTCATCTCCCTGCCTTTTCCTCTTACAGCGCAGTTCCTCCTTGCAGTTTCAGCAACTGCTGTCTTCTTGCCGCCTGCCTTAACTGCACTGCTCCTCCTTGCATTTCTTGGCTGATCTCGGTCTTCGTAGTTTCACTGCTGGGTTCACAATTCACATCCAGGCTGCTAGGGGACATCCCACTTCTGACACCACTGTGGCACTGCCATAGAATAAGAAACTCAGGGGTAGTCATGATCTGCATGATCTGATCTGCTCTTTATTGAACACACTGGTCTGTCACATACAGACCACAGACATTTAGTTCCTACCATGAGCCTTTGCATGTGGTCGTCTGCAAAGTCATACCTTCAGAGCCTTAGGTGCCAGTGCCTGCCAGTAAAAGAAAAGTAAAATATCAGTATTGTTTTACGCAGGTTCTTCTGCTGAAGTGAAGCTGGATAAAGGTTACAGCAGCATTTAAGTGTGACATTCTCTGTTATCAAACTGCTTCAGTATCTTCAGTGTATGTGTGTGTGTCACTTTTGTCTCTGTGTGTCTTTTGCTTTTAGCTACTGACACAGATTCAGATATAGAACCTGAAAGAGGAGGTTAGTATTGTGAACAGTGCTCACATTAACATATTTCAGGACCACATTATTGCATTACATGTGAATAGCAAATAAGAACAGAAAGCAGTGGTTTGTAGTTCTATTTTATTTAAACCAAAACACCACCAGGCTTGGAAATGCTTTTACTGACTATTTACACTGTACCTGATGACTTGAGGTGCTTTGCTTCAACATTTTAACATATGCTCTTTTGCAAATTTGCATTTTGCATTTTATTTAAATGTGTTTTTGACTTTGGAAAGGGGTAGAAAACAACATCCTGTACTCTGTCCAGGTCTGAACTGAGTTGGACTGATTTATATTTATATAAAAAAAATATATATAAATATGTATTTATATACAATGGTAGCCTAAAATGATTTTGTTACATTTATAATATCTAAATGAGGGACACTTTAGAAAGTATGTGTATTCAAATGTTAGCAAAAGGTTTTGTAACCTACAGCGCAATTCATAAACTTAATAAATAATGCAAATAATAATAATATTAATATTGTTTCACACAGGCTCTCATGCTGGAGTGAAGCCAGATAAAGGTAACAGCAGTATCTAAGTGTGACATTCACTGTCATTAAACTGCTTTATTATCTGCAGTGTATATAGGTGTGTATCACTTTTTTTCTTTGTGTATCTTTTGTTTTTAGCTACCGGCACAGGATCACACAGAGAACCTGAAAGCGGAGGTTAGCAGTGTGGACAGATATGCACACATACACATTTTTATTATATATAACTAGCTATTTAATATTATACAGTCTCAGCTCCCAAGACAGTTGGGACAGTATGTGAAAGCTAACAGAATCAGAAAGCAGGCACTTGTAAATTTATTTAAAAACAGTACAAACACAAAATACTGAATGTTTTACTTTATTATTTTCATTGTTTCTGTTAATATACACTTATTCAGAAATTGATGCCTGCAAAACATTCCAAAAAAGTTGGGACAGAAGAAATTTAAGACTAAGAGTCTTATTGTGGAATGTTAAAAAAAAAAACATCACAAAGAGGTGATGCCATCATGCATGAGTATTAAAGGAGAATGGGTTGAAGCCCGCCACTTTACCCAAAAAGGCATCAGCAAATAATCCACCTGTTTAAAACCAATGTTCCTCAATGTATATAAATGTTATGCAGTTAAAACTGTTTAGCTTTATTTCTATGGTAACAGGAAACAAAAATATAATGTAATTACTAATAATTTTGTAGCACTGGCAGAAGAAGAAACACTGGGGTAGCCATGATCTGCTGTAACCAGACAACAACAATAAACAACATTTAGTCCCTTTGTTGGAGGGCACGCACTACCATGAGCCTTTGCGTGCAGCAAAGCTCAAGCCAAGTCCTTGGGCACAGGCACGGTCTCTGTTAGAACAAACACTGCTGCGCCCTAGCTCCTCGACAGCAGGCACTTCCAGCCCTCTCCCGGGGCCATGCCCCGACCAAGGCTCCTCTGGTGTATTGCAGAGCTGGCCACTGTGCTTCCACTTTCCCTGAAGTATTGGCACCATCCCAAACATCGCTCATGCATGCTGGGGCTCTGCCTCCCTCGCTGATGACTGACCTGAGCTGGACGATGGTCACCTTCCAGCTGTGTGATGTGCCCCTCTTGGTGCACGAGCATGCTGGTCACAGTAGAGATATTGGGTAGCTCATAGAGGCAAATGCAATTAGCCATCTCGCTTGCTGGCCCAACTATCATACCACACCGTGTCAACTCCACCACCGAGCTTCCTTGCTTCAGGCTGCCGTCCTCCAGCCAGGCTCTGCCATCGAGCTTCATCGGGCTGCCTCGACTACTGTCTTCTTGCCGCCTGCCTTAACTGCACTGCTCCTCCTTGCATTTCTCGGCTGATCTCGGTCTTCGTAGTTTCGCTGCTGGGTTCACAATTCCCGTCCAGGCTGCTAGAGGACGTCCCACCTCTGACACCACTGTAGCACTGGCATAGAATAAGAAACACAGGGGTAACCATGAGCTGCTGCAAGAAATTCTCTATATTGAACACACTGCCAGAAAGGGGCACATACAGGCCACTAAAATCATCAGGGAGGTTACCAACAGCCATACTCTTCACCCCTACCGTGATCCCCTCACACACGAAACCCACAGCCCCCGAAACCAAACAAAACAAGTAACATATATGTATAACTATAACCAACAGACAACAACAGTAAACAACATTTAGTTCCTACCATGAGCCTTTGCTTATGGTCAACTGCAAAACCACACCTTCAGAGCCTTAGGTGCCAGTGCCAGCCAGTAACCAGAGCACTAAAATACTGCTGTTGTTTTACGCAGGTTCTCATGTTGAAGTGAAGCCGGATAAAGGTAACAGCAGCATTTAAGTGTGACATTCTCTGTCATTAAACTGCTTCAGTATCTTCAGTGTATGTGTGTCACTCTTTTCTCTGTGTGTCTTTTGTTTTTAGATACTGCCACAGATTCAGACAGAGAACCTGAAAGAGGAGGTTAGTATTATGAACTGTGCTCACATTAACATTTTTCAGGACTGTATTATTGTATATAAGTAGCCAATTAATATTGCACAAGCCTCAGTTCCCAAGAAAGTTGGGACAGTGCATGAAAAGCAAATAAAAACAGACAGCAGTGGATTGTAAATCCACTTTATTTAAAAAAAAACAGCACAAAGACAATTAGTTTACTTATTACAATGAACTGATGGAGAGTGTCCATCTGTTTCTATGCATAATCTGAAGGCAAGTCCAACAGCAAGTCTGTCTGTCATTCAGAATTTCTACTAACCCCCCTGTAAGGTTCTAGTAGTATGTTAGCGCTAAGTTAACAGCAAGGTATGTTCATATTTTGGACTATTCTAGATTAAACACAGATATTTGAAGCTTGTAAAACACATTAAAATACATTCATGTGTGTATGTGTTTGTATTTACATACACATTCATATACAGTGGTGGCCTAAAATACATTTTTTTGACATTCATATTAACTGAATGAGGGACCCTTCAGAAATATGTGTATATAAATGATAGCAAAAGTTTTTTTTTACCTACAGTGCAATTTCCTACAATTATTAATATTGTTTCATGCAGGCTCTCATGCTGGAGTGAAGCCGGATAAAGGTAACAGCAGTATCTAAGTGTGACATTCGCTGTTTTTAAACTGCTTTATTATCTGTATGTGTGTCTGTCACTTTTTTTCTCTGTGTATCTTTTGTTTTTAGCTACAGGCACAGGATCACACAGAGAGCCTGAAAGCGAAGGTTAGTAATATGACAGTATGTGAAAAGCAATCAGAAACAGAAAGTAGCTGCTTGTAAACGTATTTAAAATCAGTACAAACACAAAATATTCTTATTCAGAAATTGATGTCTGCAACACATTCCAAAAAAGTTGGGACAGAAGAAATTTAAGACTAGGAGTCTTATTGTGGAATGTTAAAAAAAAAAATCATAAAGAGGTGGCGCAATCATGCATAAGTATTAAATGAGGATGGGTTGAAGCCCACCACTTTACCTACCAATGCATCAGCAAATACTCCGCCAGTTTAAAAACAATGTTCCTTGATGAGCATTTGCAAAGATTTAAGGTATTTCACCAACAAAGAAAACAGTGCATAGTTTCATCAAAAGCTTCTGGGATTTAAGAGGGAATGCACAAAGAGCAAGGGCGAAAACCACAAGTTGAATGCCCATGACCTCCGTTCCCTCAGATGGCACTGCACTAACAATTTCAGTGGTGGATATGGACTCAGGAACACTTTGACACATTGCCATTACCATTGCTGCATCCATAAATTCAAGTTAAAACTGTAGAATGCACAAAGAAATCCAAGGAAAAGAAAAGGACCATTCAGATTGTTACCAGCATAAAGTTCAAAAGAGTCTGTGATGGGGTGGGGGGGGGGATATTAGTGTGTAACTTGCTGTGAAAGCACCATTAATGCTGAAAGATATATACACATTTTGAAGTAACATATGCTGCCCTCTAGATGACGTCTTTTTCAAGGACATGCTTATTTTAATATGATAACGAAAAGCCACATTCTGCACATTACAACAGCATGGCTAGGTAATCAGTAAGTACAGGTACTAGACTGGTCTGCCTGCAGTTCAGTCTCCCATTGAAAATGTAAGGTGTATTATAAAGGACAAAATGTGACAATGATGATCCCATACACTTGCCTGGCGGAAAACCTGTGTAACATTGTGTCAAACAGAATTTACTCATCACTGATTTCTCATATTATCAGCACTTTGCTGTCCCAACATTTTCAGAATTGTGGTTTGTATTTACATACACTTTCACATACAGTGGGAGCCAATATACTGTATCATAAAATGAATCTCTTGCATTTATACTTTCTGACTGTTTGAGGTACCATTCAGAAATTATCTGGGTATTCATGACATCCAGTAGTGACAACTGTTTAGCTGTGTTACTGTGTGTGACAAATATGAGGCATAATGTTTTGTAACCTGCAACACAATTTATTAATAAATAATACTAATTCTGTAAGGCCCCCCTTGCAAATTATAATAATAATGATGTTGTTTTTGCAGGCTCTCATGCTGAAGTGAAGCCGGATAAAGGTAACAGAGGCTTTGTTTGTGACATTCACTGTTATTGAGCCACTTCAGTCTATCTAATTAGCTATTTAATATTATAAACAATCTTTGTTGGTGAAAGAACACAAGTAACAACACAAGTAATTTGCTGTTATTAAACTGCTTTACTATCTGCAGTGTATATGTGTGTGTGTCACTTTTTTCTCTGTGTATCTTTTGTTTTTTGCTACAGGCACAGGATCACACAGAGAACCTGAAAGCGAAGGTTAGTATTGTGGACAGATATGCACACATACACATTTTTATTATATATAACTAGCTATTTAATATTATAGAGTCTCAGCTCCCAAGAAAGTTGGGACAGTATGTGAAAAGCAAACAGAAACAGAAAGTAGCTACTTGTAAAAATATTTAATGTTTTACTTTATTATTTTGATTGCTTTTTGTAAATATACACTTATTCAGAAATGTCTGCAACACATTCCAAAAAAGTTAGGACAGAAGAAATTTAAGACTAGGAGTCTTATTGGGGAATGTTAGGAAAAAAAAGACAATTAGTTTACTTATTACAATGAACAGATGGAGAGTCCATCTGTTTCTATGCATAATCTGAAGGTGAGTCTAATTGCAAGTCTGTTTGTCATTCAGAACTTCTGCTAACACCTCTATTGGGTTCCAGTAGTATGTTAGCACTAAGTTAACAGCAAAGTATGTTCATATTTTGGACCATTTTAGATTAAACACTGATATTTGAAGCTTGTAACATACATTAAAATTCATTCACTGAACATTTTATTAGGAACACCTTCCTGTATCTACAGTCATTGTTCGTTTTAACATCTCAGTATTTGGTCAGCATATTTAGAGACCACTAGATGATCAAGATGATGATCTAACTCCTTTGGGATAAACCTCTGATATCTGGGCGGCAACACTTTTAAGATGCTATATAGAATTTTTGAAAGGAACTACATAAAACAGGTTCTCCATCATGGACAGCCTGTGTCCATGTGTATTTATGTGTGTGTGTGTGTGTGTGTGTGTGTGTGTGTGTGTAGGTGTGTATGTGTTTGTGTGCATTTACGTTCACATTCATATAGTGGTGGCCTAAAATACACTTTTTTACATTTGCATTTAATGAATGAGGGACCCTTTAGAAAGTATGTGTATATAAATGTTAGCAAAAGGTTTCGTAACCTACAGTGCAATTCATACACTTAATAAATAAGGTGAATAATAATAATAATATTAATATTGTTTCACGCAGGCTCTCATGCTGGAGTGAAGCCGGATAAAGGTAACAGCAGTATCTAAGTGTGACATTCGCTGTTTTTAAACTGCTTTATTATCTGTATGTGTGTCTGTCACTTTTTTCTCTGTGTATCTTTTGTTTTTAGCTACGGGCACAGGATCACACAGAGAGCCTGAAAGCGGAGGTTAGTAATATGAACAGATATGCACACACACACATTTTTATTGTATATAGTTAGATATTTAATATTATACAGTCCACAGTTCCCAAGAAGGTTGGGACAGTATGTGAAAAGCAATCAGAAACAGAAAGTAGCTGCTTGTAAACGTATTTAAAATCAGTACAAAGACAAAGTATTCTTATTCAGAAATTGATGTCTGCAACAGTATTAGTATGTAACTTGCTGTGAAAGCACCATTAACGCTGAAAGATATATACACATTTTGAAGTAACATATGCTGCCTTCTAGATGACGTCTTTTTCAAGGACATGCTTAATTTAATATGATAACGAAAAGCCACATTCTGCACATGTTACAACAGCATGGCTGGGTAATCAGTAAGTACAGGTACTAGACTGGCCTGCCTGCAGTTGAATCTCCCATTGAAAATGTAAGGTGTATTATAAAGGACAAAATGTGACAATGATGATCCCATACACTTGCCTGGCGGAAAACCTGTGTAACATTGTGTTTTTTCACTGTTTTCAATTTAATAGGTCAAACAGAATTTACTTATCACTGATTTCTCATATTATCAGCACTTTGCTGTCCCAACATTTTCAGAATTGTGGTTTGTATTTACATACACTTTCACATACAGTGGGAGCCAATATACTGTATCATAAAATGAATCTCTTGCATTTATACTTTCTGACTGTTTGAGGTACCATTCAGAAATTATCTGGGTATTCATGACATCCAGTAGTGACAACTGTTTAGCTGTGTTACTGTGTGTGACAAATATGAGGCATAATGTTTTGTAACCTGCAACACAATTTATTAATAAATAATACTAATTCTGTAATGTCCCCCTTGCAAATTATAATAATAATGATGTTGTTTTTGCAGGCTCTCATGCTGAAGTGAAGCCGGATAAAGGTAACAGAGGCTTTGTTTGTGACATTCACTGTTATTGAGCCACTTCAGTCTATCTAATTAGCTATTTAATATTATAAACAATCTTTGTTGGTGAAAGAACACAAGTAACAACACAAGTAATTTGCTGTTATTAAACTGCTTTACTATCTGCAGTGTATATGTGTGTGTGTCACTTTTTTCTCTGTGTATCTTTTGTTTTTTGCTACAGGCACAGGATCACACAGAGAACCTGAAAGCGAAGGTTAGTACTGTGGACAGATATGCACACATACACATTTTTATTATATATAACTAGCTATTTAATATTATACAGTCTCAGCTCCCAAGAAAGTTGGGAGAGTATGTGAAAAGCAAACAGAAACAGAAAGTAGCTACTTGTAAACTTATTTAGAGAAAATATTTAATGTTTTACTTTATTATTTTCATTGCTTTTGTAAATATACACTTATTCAGAAATTGATGTCTGCAACACATTCCAAAAAAGGGACAGAAGAAATATAAGACTAGGAGTCTTACTGGGGAATGTTAGGAAAAAAAGACAATTAGTTTACTTATTACAATGAACAGATGGAGAGTGCCCATCTGTTTCTATGCATAATCTGAAGATGAGTCTAATAGCAAGTCTGTTTGTCATTCAGAATTTCTGCTAACACCCACTATTGGGTTCCAGTAGTATGTTAGCACTAAGTATATAATTAGATATTTAATATTATACAGTCCACAGTTCCCAAGAAGGTTGGGACAGTATGTGAAAAGCAATCAGAAACAGAAAGTAGCTACTTGTAAACATATTTAAAATCAGTACAAAGACAAAATATTCTTATTCAACACATTCCAAAAAAGTTGGGACAGAAGAAATTCCAGAACTCCCATTGAAAATGTAAGGTGTATTATAAAGGACAAAATGTGACAATGATGATCCCATACACTTGCCCAGCTGAAAACCTGTGTAACATTGTGTTTTTCACTGTTTTCAATTTAATACAGGTCAAACAGAATTTACTTATCACTGATTTCTCATATTATCAGCACTTTGCTGTCCCAACATTTTCAGAATTGTGGTTCATATTTACATACACTTTCACATACAGTGGGAGCCAATATACTGTATCATAAAATGAATCTCTTGCATTTATACTGACTGACTGATTGAGGTACCATTCAGAAATTATCTGGGTATTCATGACATCCAGTAATGACAACTGTTTAGCTGTGTTACTGTATGCGACATATATGGGGCCTAATATTTTGTAACCTGCAACACAATTTATTAATAAGCAATACTAATTCCGTAACGTACCTCTTGCTAATTATAATAATAATGATGTTGTTTTTGCAGGCTCTCATGCTGAAGTGAAGCCGGATAAAGGTAACAGAGGCTTTGTTTGTGACATTCACTGTTACTGAGCCACTTCAGTCTATCTAATTAGCTATTTAATATTATAAACAGTGTTTGTTGGTGAAAGAACACAAGATTTTTAACGTTTAATTTAGTTTCTGTTAAATTCCGTTTGACTGGTATTAAATTGAAACCACTACAAAAATGCGGCACATAATGTTTTATCTTATGAACTTCATTGTGTTTTTGTAAATATGCACTCATGCCTGTAATATGTTCCAAAAATGTTGGGACAGGAGCATGTTTACCACTGTACTACATCACTTTTCCTTCAAAGGGAACTCAATAATCATTTAGGGACTGAGGACACTGATTCAATTTTGAGAACTGTATTTTTTTTTGCCATTTCATTCTTCTTTTACACCTTTCCTGTCTGGTGTTGGTATTTACTGTATGTTTAAATGTGAGGGTATGCTATGGTAGGAGAGGGTATTAGTGGGTAACTTGCACATCTGTACGTACAGTAAACACCAATATCATACAGGAAAGCTATAATAGAAGAAAGAAAGAATTCAAATTGTTGACAGCATATGTTGCTCCTGATTTTGAACTTGGTTGCTGGCTGGTTACCCACTAATGCACTCTTATACCATGGGAAACCCTGACATTTGAACTTTATGCTGGTAACAGTCTGAATTTCCTCTTTTATTAATTTACTATATATTGTTGCTATTGAGATTAGTTTATCTACTCATAAAACTATATGCTTTTGGAATTGCTGCACATTTTTCCTTTAAGAAAGTCATAAACAAACAAACATTTTCTGTTTTTTATGCGGGTTCTCCTGCTGAAGTGAAGCCAGTGTGGCTTTCAGCGTTACTGAGCCGCTTTAGTGTCTTCACATCTCGTGTTCAGGAAACTAACTGTTCTCTCTCTGTGTTTTTGCTCATAGCAACTGGATCAGATTCAGATGTAAAACCTAAAAAAGGTTAGTATCAGACATACATAATATGTGCATTTTGTTTGTTTTTTATTTTAAATAAAACTGTAAGTAAAAATGAAGTTGGCCTTTTTGGGGTTCCGTCAAACAATAAACACTGCAATGCATATAGTAACTTCTTTCCCTTATAAGAACTATTTATATTTTATTGTAATTGAGCCGACTGTTATATTGTCTCAGTTCTTATTCAAAACTCAGTAGTTTAAGTGGAAATTGTCACAGGTCTCAACAGCACTATGTGCATTTATACTTTTTTACCATTTATGGATGGTTATCCATTTTCTGAACTGCTGCTCAAAAGCTCTGTGCATTATACAGTTTCTCATTAGGCTGAATGAATAACCGACTCTAAATGTAGGTATTGTGATATAAACTGAGTCTGTTCTACAGTTTCTCATTAGGCTGAATGAATTACCGACTCTAAATGTAGGTATTGTGATATAAACCGAGTCTGTTCTACAGTTTCTCATTAGGCTGAATGAATAACCGACTCTAAATGTAGGTATTGTGATATAAACTGAGTCTGTTCTACAGTTTCTCATTAGGCTGAATGAATACCGACTCTAAATGTAGGTATTGTGATATAAACCGAGTCTGTTCTACAGTTTCTCATTAGGCTAAATGAATAACCGACTCTAAATGTAGGTATTGCGATATAAACCGAGTCTGTTCTACAGTTTCTCATTAGGCTGAATGAATAACTGACATGAATGTGATCAGATTTCTCAACAACTGAATGCGTGATTCAAAGTGGTCTGGTGTGAAATGGTTCAGATTCCTTTACAGTGGTGGTGATAGGAACCAGGGGTCGCCATGACTACAACACAAATATAGACATTTTATTTACCATCCAAACTCACCAGTGAACCTACACGAGTCTTCTGAGATCAAATTGAAAGACAACAGAGACTTTAGCTGAAGTCTCTTCTCAGTGTTGATGCTTTGAGTAGTTATTATAATGTTTTATCTGGGCCAGAAGTGTCTCATGTGTCCTTTTGGTCAGATGTTGTTGCTGATCTGGGCTTTTGGGCGAAACTTCTTCATATTTCCATAAAAGAGTGCCTTTTAGGCAATAACATTTTGCTCTGGGCCAACTTCTACACGCACACGCACAGGGAACAGACTCTGATATGTCCTGTTTGTGTGTTTGTTTTTCAGCGTCTGTCTGGTGGAGCCCAAAGGAGGGTAAATATCTCAGTAATCTTTCAGTCCAGCTCTTCAGAGATGAATTGTGTAAATCTACGCTAACTGACTGAACCCCGCTGTGTGTGTGTGTGTTAGATATCCGGCAGGCTCGCAACCACACTGAGAGTCAGGTGGAATGCGGTATTCCGAACTTTGATTATTTCTACAGGACGGAGGCGGAAAAACGACCGGTGCGCAGAAAACGAGTGGTGGGAGGACAGGTGGCCTTACCGGTCAGTACAAACACACACACATCCACTTTTCTATCTGTCCATAGGTGTCACTGGTGTTACTGATCGTCATTGGTGTTACACATAATAAAGGGAACACCAGAGACATTTTTGATGAAAAACGCATTTTGCAAAACGGCTGCTACAGAGCATCAAACCACATGATGTCAGTCATGGAACATCCACTAAAATATGGAATTTAATCCATTTGTATTCTATTTTTTCACAATGACCTCAGAATAAAGTCGGTCACTCCAGTGACTTCAGCTAAAAGCTTCATATGAAATCATGAGCTAAATGAGAAAAGCTCTGATAACTGAAAGACACAGTGGACTCACCATGTGCTTTTCTTCATAGACCCTCAGAAAACAGGTAAAAGGAAGTCAAGTGACGTCATCAGTGTGATTTTTATTTCAAAATAAGAGTTTATTTTTGTTACGTGGTAACACCAGTGACACGACTCCTGGGGACAACAACTTTCATTATATAATTTATAATATTGATTTGCCATTTGTTTTCTTTATTTAATTTAAATCGTATATTCCATAGTCATGTATAGATTATTGCTGTTAAAATTGTGTTTTATTCTTCCAAATATGGCCTCATGCTGTACACATGACTGTGAGGATGATCTCTTCTGTGGTGCTCTGGATAATTGATTGAAAAACCTATATGGCTAAATTGAGGCTCAAGAAGGTTAAATTGTTAAAATAACATTGTTTTATTTTAAAATATAAAGAAATTGTAAGTTTTTTAAGTGTAATATATCTGTAACGCCAGGGACTCAAAAATGGACGTTTCTGTAGAATCACCCAAATAGTGATATATATATATATATATATATTACACTTTATATAGAGTTTGCTTGGCTTGGTTTTTGACCTTTGGTAACATTTGGTTTGCAGACTCAGATCCAGTGGCAGGTGGCGGTACAAGAGGAGGGCAAGATCCACTGTGGGGGGGTCTACCTGGGGGGCTGCTGGGTTTTAACTGCTGCCCACTGTGTCAGGTAACCAGTCAGTGAGCCTTTTCTATGTTATGTACCAGTGAAATTAGTTTTGCCCCATTTCCTACATTGACTCTATTACTGAACAACACACAGTTTGAGGCGAGTGAGCGATGTTTGGGCCGTGCTAATTGGTGGGGTATTAGCTTCTATTACTCATTAGCAACATTAGCTTCATAGCTCCAGTGCAGAATTAAATGAATGTCAAATCACACAGTGAATCCTTCTTGGCTGGTTGACTACATCTGAAATATTGAAGGTGTAAATAATAATGAAAACTGTGTACATTTGTTTTGCTTCTGTGCGGTCGTGTTTGTGCACAGGCCGAAGCCTCAGGTGTTCCGGATTAAGTTCTCTCTGTGGAAGAAGACTGATCCGTCGGGCACGACGGACAGCGTTCCAGTGAAGAGCATCATCATCCATAAAGATTACAACCCGCGCACCTACCAGAACGACATCGCGCTGGTGCAGCTGGAGGAGTTAGCACACTCGAAAGAGTGTTTACAGCCCAACCCTGCGGTGCGTGCCGTGTGCGTGCCGTGGTCCACTCTGCTGTTCCAGGATGGAGACACCTGCACCATCTCCGGGTGGGGCAGAAACAAAGGTACAGCATCCACAGCGAGGCTTTTAAACCGTCACTGTCATCAATCTGTTTTTCCTGGTTTGAAATCAGCAGCTGCTCTTTACACTGTGTGACTGTTTCTCAATGAATGGACACAAATCTTTTTTCCCCTTAAGACCCTAATTATGTTACTGGGAGCTTTAATTCCTTTTTACACGTGCATTTTCCAACCTCTCCGTTCTTGGTACTGTCCGTCTTGGGAGTTCCGTCTGGAAAGTCCCAGGGAAAGTCCCAGTTTTCAGCTTTGCAACAGCTAAAACCAAAAATAGTACATAATACATTATTGAGAAATAATAATACAGAGATATGAACTTTCTAATAGCTTAAGCGGAGCACAGACCCTGCTTTCCTCTTTTTATTTATATATTTTCGATTACATAAATATATCTGCACTGCTTAGCCTTTTCAGCTCCTTGGGACCACCGGTGGTTCCAAAACGCACTTCGTCATATTCTTCGTAACTTTCGTATTTCAAAAGCTACATTCTAAAGGTGGGGGTCGTGTGAGAGCTGTAACTGTCTTCATTCCAGTCAAATAGATGGGTGATGTAATTTTAAACCCTTATAATAAAAGAAGCTGATTTTTTTTTTTGTCTACTGAAAGTCGACCCATTTTTCCACAAATCTGGGCTATAAACTATAAACAGATAAGTAAACTGTAAGCATATAGCAATATGTCTACTATAATAAAACACATTTTCTGTTAATTTGAGGGGAGCTTTTACAAAAAAAAAAAATAAATAAAAATGTACTTTTATTTCATGCAGTTACTGAATAATTTGCCGTCATGTGAATTCAAATGGAACAACCAACATATACCCTGGTGAATAAGAGGTTAAGTTGTATTTTCATTACAGTGAACTCATTGCTTCCCTTGGCAACTGCTGGCTGCTTGGGGGCTCGTCTCTAAAACACGCAGGTTGATGTACACAGAGAGGTGTACGCAGATTTATAAGCCCCTTCTGAACCCCAAAGCAGCCTGTTTTTAAACTTACAATAAAAATAATCTGAGATAATGAAGTTTTTATCATTATATCTCCTGCTTGGTGTGTGTTCCAGTGTTAGTCTGTGGGCGTGACACGATCAGTTACCGCGCCACACATCAACAATCTGATTGGTCATTACGCAGTTCATTTGCATAATGTTTGTCCAGTCTCTTGACAGGTGAAAATATCTTAAATCTAGTTTAAATGTAATATTTCTTATCTTGATTATTAACTTATTTCTAGGCCATTTTATTTGTCTTAAGCGATTTTAGCAAGTAAAATTATTTCATATGCTTGAAATAGCCTAAAAATGACATAAACAAGTAAGAACATCTAGAAATAAGTGTAATAAACTTATTACATGCTTACAACAATCTTAACTTTAGAAGTATTAGATTTTACCATATTATTTTACATATTGCCTTGATTTAAGATCAGTTCACTTGTGAAGTGTAAACTTTATCCAAACGCCATCTTCCCTCCAAATTTTGTCTGCACTTCCATGTAAAACCACTTATTTCCATTATTATATAAACCAGCAGCTGTTGTCTCTCTACTCTTAGAGAAACTTATGTACCGTAAGACTGATTTATGTAAGTGACATCTGTTCTGATTGGCTATCCTGTTTTCAAATGCATAATTAAAATAGAAACACTCCTTAAACGGCTAAACTGCTGTAGGCTGAATAGGTGGATATATGTACATTTCAAATGGGCTGTTTTTGCAGCCTAGTCTCCACATATGAGCCACATACCCAGCAGGGTGAACAGTATATTTAGTATGTTATAGTAAGGTCAAGGTATTTTATGTTAAAAAGAACTGAAGAAAATGACTTTTTTCATGATATGGACCCTTTAAATTAAAGTATGTTTTCCCCCCCTTTTCCTATAAGGTTATGCTTGAATCTCACATATCAAATACATTTAAACCATTACCAGTCAAAGAATGCATCCTGGAAGCTGTTCTGCAGTCTCTGCAATGGTGGTGTCACACTATCTGGATCTATTTTAGCTGATTTTTGTTTTCATATGTTCCTCTGTGTTTGTAAAGAGGGAGGAACTACAGACGCTCTGAAATGGGCCAATGTCACGGTTATTGGAAACTGCAAGAGCTACTACAAGGAGAGGTACTTTGAAGGAATGGAGTGTGCAGGTATGTGCAAGCATGATCTGTGGTGTGTGTACATGTGTGAGAGAGCATAACTCTCTGAGTAAGACCTGTTTCTACTCATTTAGCGTTTGCAGATGATTGGTCAGTTAAGAATCTGTACTGAGCATGAACTCACCGTTATTCACATGCACTTTGTTATAAAAGACATGTATGCTACATTTCTCTTGCATTGTATTTCTGTCACTGAGGCGTGCTTATTTAAAGTGTGTGTAGTTAGTGGACCAAAAGCACGAACATTATCATCATCCAACCTCTATTTCTTAGAATTAAACATGCTGTTTTTTGTTACTGTGCCTTTAAGACTGATATATGTAAATGACTTCTGATCTGATTGGCTGCTGCTTCCTAACCCCTAGGAACAGCTTAACATTGAATTATTTTCCCCACGTCCGCTACAATGAGTGTCGGCTGGAACAACACTCCACGTCACTACAGCATGATTAGAGTTCAACAGCTGTAGGCTGAATGGGTGGGGCTGAACTGCAGTAGGCTGAATGGGTGGGGCTAAACAGCTGTAGGGTGAATGTGTGGGGCTAAACTGCTGTTGGCTGAATGGGTGGGGCTAAACTGCTTTCGGCTCAATGGGTGGGGCTAAACTATTGTAGGCAGAATGGGCGTGGCTAAACTGCTGTAGGCTGTGAGGGCCTGGCTTATCTGCTGTAGGCTAAAATAGGCAGGGCTAAACTGCTGTTGGCTGAATGTCCAGTTTCTTTGGACAGCGTCGATATGAAACACATTTAAAAAATGCAAGGAATGCTTTTTTCATGATATATGAGCCCTTTAAAGGTAAGCAGCCTTGCTAGTTTGTGATATCTTTCCAGCGCACTCTGGAACGTTCTTTAACCTGTAAAACACAAAGCTCTCATGTTCCACCGCTCTGAGCTGCACTCTCAAAACAGATACAGTCATATGCAAAAGCCTGGACGCCTCAGGTCAAATGGCACAATTTGTTGATTTTGTAAGTGAAAATTAGTCACGTTCATTTAACATATGAGAACAACACATCAGAAACTGTGGCCTATGAGGAAGTTCTTTTTCCCCTTCATGTTAAATAAATAGAAATTGTGCACTAGACTTTGCAGAAAATGCCATATTTAAGTCTGAAAATGAACTAAATGTAATTTGTCTGGGGGATTTCAAACTTTTGCGTATGACTGTATTTGAAACAAACTGTGTCCGCTGTGAAAAGTTTTACCACAGAGCACAAAACACCATTTATATTTCCCATAGTGAAAAACTACCCATTTCCTGATATGGGCATGACATTGACTACAGAGTTCTATTATGCTGTCTCGGACGTCTGTCCACGGACGGCTGTGGCATCACCTGGGATCAAACTCGAGATCTCCTGACGATAAAGCCAATGATGGCTGCAGCGGTTTCGAGTCACTTTAAACACAGCTGTTGTTGTTGTGGCCTAAAACAAAAGGGGTTAAAAAAATAAATAAAAAACATACTTGGTATTGTCTCCCGGTCTCATCTCTCTCAACCTGTCCTGTCTTTACCTGCTCAGGTGATCTGGACGGTAAGGTGGACTCATGTCAGGGCGACTCCGGAGGTCCACTGGTGTGTAAGGACGCCAGCGGGCTGTCGTACGTGTGGGGCATCGTGAGCTGGGGGGAGAAGTGTGGGGAGGCTGGTTACCCCGGGGTTTACACCAAAGTGGCTCACTATTTTGAATGGATCCGCTTCCACACCGGCTGGCCTGCGATCACCAAGTACAACCACTGAGGAAGAATGAGACTTCAGTGCCCACCGAACCCTGCTTTACTCTTCATTCACAGGTATACACAGTAAACAGACGGATGTGAGGTGTGGCTTTAGTAGGTTATGAGGCTGTTTACTTCTGTAGATGCTTGTTTTGGGATGGATTGCTGTTTATTGACTTTGTACAAAGAAATTTCTTTGTTTCCATTAAAATGATCACAGACCAGCTAAAGACTCTGCACTGTTTTCTTACATTTAAAGAGGAATTCCAGCAGTTGTTTCTAAATTTCTGCATAATTCAGTGGTTAAGATGTAAACAGAGTCGTTCAGAGTGGTTTGGTGTGAAACGCTCTGTTCTAGAGAAACTTACTGAGTCAGAACTGTTCACAGTGGTGGTGATAGGAACCAGACATCCACCTCTAAAAGCTCCCTCACAGGACAGTTACTACATGAAATGGTTGCAAATGCACTGCCTGCTGTCTGAGACACACCTTTACATGCACTTAATAATCTTTGTTTATTAATAATTGCAGAAAATCAGATGTTATCAGTAATCCATTTGTTTACATGCACTTCAGTAATCAGATAATGGGGAAACTCCAGGTCTACATGAATCAGACAGTTATTAGATTTCTTCTTTGCAACCAGCCAATAAACTTAGAATGAGACATGATGCAAACGTAACATAAAACTCAAACTTCATGTAACAGCTTTTTTTTAAAAAAACATTTCCCTTGAAATTATGAACATCCTCTAGAAGATGACGAAACAATTAAATCCCTCATTTTGTCAAGCATGTATTTAGTTTCACTGTTGCTCCAAAAGTGTTTTGCTGCCATCTTGTGGGTGCTGTGTTAAATGCTGCTCGCTTATTTCCGGTACTGCGGTCTGTTTCGCACATCCTCAGACTGAGAAATCCGAAAGAAATCAGAGTAAGAGTTTACATGCTCTGAGAAATCTGATATTGGATTTCTTAATCAGATTTCCAGACCTCACTCCGATCTAGGAAAAGCTGTTTGCATGACCTTTTAAATAATCAAGCTGTTGTGAGGCAAAACAGTCCCCAAAGAAAACTTTAAAACACTATTTTACCATCATCAACATTCCATATAAACTCAGAAGACTCGTGTAGGTTCACTGGTGGTTTTAGATAGTAAATAAAATGTCTATATTTGTGTTGTAGTCATGGCGACTCCTGGTTCCTATCACCACCACTGTAAAGACATCTGAACCATTTCACACCAAACCACTCTGAATCTCTCTGTTTACATCTCAAACACAAAATTATTCAGAAAGTGTAGAAAATAGTTAAAATTCACCTTCAATGTTGGCATTTTTGAGATGTACAAGCTTCATTTGACAGGTTTCTGTTATTGAGTGCAGGCCTTCAGTTTAGCTCGGCAGTGCCCTCTGGTGGCGACTGTAAGTGATCTAGTGTAGACGCTCATGGAGAGTTCACATGCAGATCCTTTGACACACACATGCGTTTAGCCTGATTTCAAATGAACAGGATTTGCATTGGCAGTTCAGCTGTGTTGAAAACCAGTCTACAGTCACGAGTAAGTTACTAGTTTAACCCCTTAAACACCCAGGAGCCATCAGGAGGTCCAGGCTTCCCTTCCTCACTCCTTTAACTTAAGAATAAAGAAGTTTGAACAGTTTTCCATATAATTACTGAATAATTAATAATTACACTTAGGATATAATAATACTTCTGGAAATTAAGGAGGGTAATAAAGGAATTTAAGCAGTTAACTTTCTTATGTACACACACACACACACACTCACAGACCCACACACACACACATATACACACCATTAATTTCCATTCTAACATAAAGAAGTCTTGTCCCTGATCATCATTGCACTCAGACTGAGCCACACACACACTGCCTGGCCAAAAAAAGGTCACCACCTGGATTTAACTAAGCAAATAGGTAAGAGCCTCCCATTCGATAATTACTGCATGGGTGATTATGTTTCAGCTGGCAACAAGTTATTTAACCCTAACTGATGCAGTGAGTAGCTTCTCATTTGTTAAACAACCATGTGGAAAGACACAACCTGTGAGGGAAACTGCTGAAACTACTAAAATCGGGTTAAGAACTGTTCAACGCATTATTAAAAAGTGGAAGGACAGTGAGGAAACATCATCTTCGAGGAAGGAATGTGGTTGGAAAAAGATCCTGAATGATCGTGATCGGCGATCACTTAAACGTTTGGTGAAATCAAATCGTAGAAAAACACCACTAGAACTCAGGGATATGTTTAATAGTGTAGAGCATTTCCACACGCACAGTGCGAAGGGAACTCAAGGGATGGGGACTAAACAGCTGTGTAGCCTTAACAAAACCACTTATCAGTGAGGCTAACTGGCGAAAACAGCTTCAATTTACTAGGGAGCATAAAAGATTGGACTCTGGAGCAATGGAAGAAGGTCATGTGGTCATGAAGGTCATGAGCAATGGAAGAAGGTCAGCACAGAAGGTCATGTGGTCATGAAGGTCATGAGCAATGAAAGAAGGTCAGCACAATTACTAGAGCAGTGGTCATCAATTCTGCTCCAGGGCTAACTTCCTGTTGAATATCATCCCAACCACAATCTGCAACACCTGCTCCAGCCAATTCATTTCTTCAGAAGAACGACCAGGTTATTCCATCAATGGATTTATTCTTCCCTGATGGCACGGGCATATTCCAAGATGACAATGCCAGGATTCATCAGGCTCAAATTGTGAAAGAGTGGTTCAGGGAGCATGAGACATCATTTTCACAGATGGATTGGCCACCACAGAGTCCAGACCTGAACCCTATTGAGAATCTTTGGGATGTGCTGGAGAAGACTTTGCGCAGTGGTCCAAATCTCCCATCATCAATACAAGATCTTGGGGAAAATTAATGCAACTCTGGACAGAAATAAATATTGTGACATTGCAGAAGCTTGTGGAAATGACCCAGAAGGATAAACTAAAACTTTTGCACACATTGAATGTTTATGAATAACCTGTTAGTGAAACACTGTGTTCTGTATAGAGGTCCCACCTGAGGCACACAGCACTGCTGGGGCTCAAACCTAAAGCCCAGCAGGAGAGGTTACAATAATACTAATACTAATAATAATAATAATTTTTATTTATTTGGCACTTTTAGTTAATTTTAGTTACAAAATCTGCAAGTGCTTCACACAGGAATATAAGTAAAATACTGAAAAGATACATAGCAGCACAATTACTAGAGCAGTGGTCATCAATTCTGCTCCAGGGCTAACTTCCTGTTGAATATCATCCCAACCACAATCTGCAACACCTGCTCCAGCCAATTCATTTCTTCAGAAGTCCTTGATTGGCTGGATCAGATGTATTACTATCATATTAAGGCAATGGGCAGTATGTTAGAAGTAGATCTCCTGAAGGATTGTTGGTGACTACCGAACTACAGAAGAGGGAGCCCGAAGGGATCAGGAGGTGGTGGGGTGTGAAAACTTTTTCACAGGAAATGCAGAAGTGGAGACTGACAGTGTGAGACATCAGGTCGAAAGGTAAGGAACTTCAGTCGCTGTCATCCAAACTCCAGCTACTTCATACCTCCGTTTAGTGCTGCTCCACTTATTGCTACGTAACGTCATCTAGGTATTAAACTTGGATAAAAACTGGCCAAAGTGCTTATTATTGCATGAACTGACTCCATATTTTACAGTGAATCATGTTATATTTGGGCATTTTTATGCCGAAATGTCATTACAGGCATCAAACAACTTTGAAGGCATTTAAGTGAAATACAAGACTGATCAATACACATGACCATATTGAGCATTACAGCATGTTTTCTTCAGGAGGTTCAGTGCTTTTGTGGTTTTAGTGAGTCATTGGTGACGCATGTTGAGATTAGAGTGAGAACAGTCTGGATTACAGTCTGAAGTCTGAGAGAAAGGAAACTATGCAGCGCTGAGATCGATGGCTGGAAGAGTTTACTGTTGACTGAAGGTGGAAAGGTTCTTCAGAATTCCAGGCCAGCCCTGCATCCGTCTTCACCCAGCTCAGAGAAGGAGTAATGCAGCAGGTCTTTTGCTCCAATTCACCTTTCCGGGCCAAGAAAAAGAAGAGATCTCGACACCTCCATTCACTAAAGCGGGTGATTAGACTGGCTGAGAGTTTAAGGTTTCCATTAATGGACCTGGGAACCACGGTACTACTATGTGAAGCACCACATGGTATTTTTTTTACAACAACAAAGGAGCTGAACTGAACTTTGGTCAGGCAAACCCAAACTTTTGCATACAGCTGAGCTAATGGAACAGATCTACATCAGACAAAAGCATCCCAGAACACCACCACCCCCAAAAAACCCAAAACAAACCAAAAAAACAATTGTATGTTTGATTTTTTTCACGAACAGGTCACTACAGGGAGCATGAGTAATGAATAACTTTAAAAGCCCAAAAACAGTCAATATTCACATCACCCTGACAACCTTCTCCAGACCAAATAATTATGGAGAAGTAAGTTAAAAACTATTAGAATAAGCAAAAACTATTTAAAAACAAAACAAAGAAAGCTCAGCGTTAGCCTACACTGTCATGGAACTGGTCCTTCAAAACTTTTGTCCTTTGAACTGATTTACCTAAAATAGATGATTAAGCAAGTTTACAGAAAGACTGAAGAAGAAACGGTGGGCAATATGACGATATCTTATTGGATCATGATGAATTACATCACCATATGGTTTTCTGCGCCAAAAACAAGGATGTTAGCACTAAGCTAACAGCGGTTCACATTTTTTTAGCTATTCTAGATTAAACATGAACATTATGAAGCTGGTAAAAGACATTAATATATATTTCAGCTTGTATGTATCAGTTTTACAGTGACTTATTCCGTAAAGCGTCCTGCATAGAGCTGCCGCCACTGTTTTCTATTCCTAACAACTACCTGAAACCAGCTGAGCAACTTGTATTCACAGTCAGTGATGCACCTAGAACTTCCAGAAGGACTAGAGTGATGTTCTTTGTAAATCAAAATGTGATTAGGAAGTGGCGGAGGGATCAACCAATGTTTCCAACAAAACTTTACATTAGTATAATTCTTTGAGTTTAAATATAAATGTGATGATTCTATTAAATAAAAATTACAAAAACATACTTTTTGCTTTTACAAAAAACCACTAGCCCATCTCTGAGGGTCTTAAAGGCCCTGGGGATTCCGACCTGATATTTTTGTCTTTATATAGGTTTTTTTTTAATTAACATCACACAACATAAGACTTCATAGAAAAATAGTTTATTACTTAACACCTCAACACAACATTAATATTAAACACATCTGAAGGCAACGAATCATTAAACAGAAATAAAAACAGTACACAGTGATAAAGAGTCAGTAACTTCATTAAATAATTGACTGATCGCCCTCCAGCGTCGTTAACGGTAAACACAGATCAGGACTGAGGTGCGCAACACAAACACATCCAAACATATCCACATACTCAGCTCTGAGTTCAGATAAAACACACTTCAGGCTCTACAGTAGAGTCCGAGATCTGGGAAGAGTCATAATGTGATCTTGCACAATAGTGAGCAGGTGTTTTAATTTGCTCTGTTTACGGAAAAAGAGATTATTCTATTTTTAACATTTTTATCCATACCGCATAACAACATAGCATCATCATAAAGAGCTTCATAAGGAATTAAATATATATTTACTTCTCTTTTTTATGCCTACATAGAAATTTAAATATTTATTTGTTTTTGTAGCACAAAGTTTTTTCTAACAGCCTTATAGTGCACAGAAATTGCTCACAGGTATGGTGTGTGCTTTTAGTATTGCATTATTTTTAGTCTGTCTGTATCTGTACGTCTCACACACACACACACACACACACACACACACACACACACACACACACAGCCCATTTAAATCCTTCAATATTGTTTCAAGCACAAAAAGTAGAACCAATTTCCAGGTAATACACACACACTCATTAGCAGCCTTACAGTCTCTAAAACACTGCTGTGTGTGAGTGAAAGTCCACCGTTATAGTCATATGCTGTATAAGTCCGGGTGTGCCGGTCAGATTCCACATTTTGTTGAGTGTAAATAAGTGAACACATCCTCACTTCTGCACATTTTAATGCACAATTACTGTTTATTCGCTGCACGTAATACACTGGAAAAAATAAAATGTTTCCTGTGCCAAAGTTATGCCGCTTGTTATAGTGCGTTCTATTTTTTCCAATATCTTAAACTAAAGGTAAACAGAAATTTTGCATTGCAACTAGCAGAAAAAATGGCATATTTTAGTGTGTTCTCTGTAGAGGATGTATTAACTGATTTTCACCTGGAACATAAACAGAACATGGAATTTGACCAGGGGCGTGTAAACTTTTGCATACAACTGCACACATCTGTGCGTGGGTGTTTGTGTTTTCTCACTCTTCACGGACGCTCTGGACTTTGGAGTACCTCCTGAAGGGGTTTTTGAAGCAGGTTGCGGGCAGCGATAAAGGCCAGGAGAACGTGCAAGGAACCATGGTTGTAACGTTCCTCTCCATGAACCTGAAGAAGAACCTCCACCACACTCTGTTTAAATAGTTATGAGGAGAGTCTTTCAGAGACTAGAGAGAGAGAGAGAGAGAGAGAGAGAGAGAGAGAGAGAGAGAGAGAGAGAGAGAGTTAGTGTTAGGAGTCTTGCCCAGGGACTCTTATTGGTATAGTGTAGGGTGTTTACTCAGGGAGGGGTTTGAACCCCAGTCTACAGCGTAGAAGGCAGAGGTGTTACCCACTACACTATACCAATGTACTTGTGTGTGTTTTGTTTTTGTTTACCTGGTTGTTGGCCAAGGTGTGGTACCACCAGAAGAGCCGGGATGTGATGAAGTAAGCCACAACCACATCCACACTGTAGTGCTCATGAGCCACCAGGATGCAGACCACGCCCACTGCGCTTAGAAACCAGCAGATCAGGTGATACCACCACAAGGAGCGTGGGGAGTCTGCAGAAGGGAAAAAATATTAAAAACAAATTAACCTGTAAAACTTTTAGTCCACAGACGTAGAGTGGGGTCTCCAAACATATGCAGAGGTGGAAGAGGTGGTTACAGCGCCAGTGATTACAAAAACACGCTGTCATTTTAGAGGAACTATTTCTGACTCACTGCTCCATGAAAAAGCGGAGAAATTCAGATTCTCGTCCATATCAGTCCATATCAGTCCATATCACATTTGAATTATGATTTGAATTTATGAAAATTTACTGCAGTCTTGTTTTGCAGAAAGTAAAAACATTTACCTTTTTGTCATTTGTTGACAGCAGCTACGATTCCATGCAAACAATTTTTTGTAGCTCAAAAAATCATTATGAATTCAAAACTTTTGATGATGTAGACTGGAAATATTTTAAAAGTTCAACTTTCTAACTTTTTTTCTGTTTAATTTTGGCAGAACTGTATCATTGGTAAGGCCTACATTGTAAACTAACTTTCCTGGGAAAAGTGTGATTTTCCAGGAAATCAATGTGATGAAAAGCTGCAGTGCAGCAAAAGTTGCTAACTTTTTTATGCATTTTCCATTTTATTTTCTCACTTGCATTTTGTGCTGCAGAAAGTGGCTGGAAACGTAGCTAGTGAATCAAACAAGAAACAGAAGTGCAGACTCTGTAACCTGTCAATACAGAAACTTCTAACAAACTAAGGTTTCCTGTTTAACAATAAATATTATCACAGCAGGGAGGATGATGATGGTGAGACACTCACACTCTCTGATGAAGAGGAAGGTGAGGGTGAGCATGACGGTGTGTCCGCTGTAAAGGAAATCTCCACACATCATATGAGAACCAGTGATGGACAAACCTCCTCCAGACAACAACTGCAGAACCCGATGGACCTTACCTATAGGGTCATCATGCAGCTAGAGAGAGAGAGAGAGAGAGAGAGAGAGAGAGAGAGAGAGAGAGAGAGAGAGAGTTTGTAATGCTAATTCCACACAGCACACTCCACTCAACAAACTTGACACTATAAGATCGGCTGTGACACACAGGGAAACCCAGCAACAGCATTTTTACGTAAAAAAAAAAATTACAATAAAAAAAATCAACACTCCTCTCACCCTAAATGTAGTCAAGACGTCTTTGAGGTCGAACACTGTTTTAATTTTAAGCTGGAGCTACGAGGCTAATGTAGCTAACAAATACTGAATGCTTATGTACACCGATTAACGTAGAGCTAACTGCATATTTAATCACACAGACATTATAATAGAAAGACTATTGGTGCACATCAGTCCTCAAAACCAGAGCTCACTTGCTACACAATAGAAGATGAAAACACAGGAGCACCTGCAGAACTACAACTTTTGCAGTATGACAATGGCCCACGAGCAGGTGAGGAGTGATGGAGGGGTGACAGGGTGGAGGGAAGGATGAAGGCATGGAGTGATGAGGGATAGAAGAATGGAGTGATGAGAGATTGAGATAAGGATGGATGGATGGGTGAAGTGATGGACTGATGGAAGGATGGATGAAGTGATGGAGGATGTTGTGGAGTGATTGAGGGAGTAACAGAAAGAGTGAAAGATGGGTGAAGTGATGGAGGGAGTAATGAAGGGAGTGATGGAGGGATGGAAGGATGGGTGAAGAAATGGGGGAATAGAAGACATGGAGTAATGGGTGAAGCGACGAAGGACGTGAGGGAGTTTGTTACTGAGTAATGGAGGGAGTAATGGAGGAGTGATGGAGGGACGGAAGGATGAGTGAGGAAATGGAGGGATGGAGGACGTTATAAAGCAATGAATCAAGTGATGGAGGTCGCTATAGAGTAATGGAGGGAGTAACGGAGGAGTGAAGGAGGACGTTATGGAGTAATTAATCAAGTGATGGATGTTGTAATGGAGGAAGTGATGGAGGAGTGATGGAAGGACGGAAGGATGAGTGAAGAAATGGAGGGATGGAGGACGTTATAAAGCAATGAATCAAGTGATGGAGGTCGTTATAGAGTAATGGAGGGAGTAATGGAGGAGTGATGAATCAAGTGATGGAGGTCGTTATAGAGTAATGGAGGGAGTAATGGAGGAGTGATGAATCAAGTGATGGAGGTCGTTATAGAGTAATGGAGGGAGTAATGGAGGAGTGATGAATCAAGTGATGGAGGTCGTTATGGAGTAATGGATTTAGTATTGGAGGAGGGATGGAGAACGTTATGAAGTCATGGAGTGATGGAGGGAGTGATTGAGGAAGGATTTTGGAGTGATGGAAGCGGTAAAGGAGGAAGTGATGGAGGGATGGAGGATGTTATGGAGTGGAGGGGTGATGGAAGGATGGAAGAAGGAGTGAAGTGATGGAGGGATGGAGGATTTTATGGAGTGGAGGGGGTGATGGAGGGGAAACAGACCCATGTGACTGCTCTCACCTTCGGAGCGCAGTTCATGTGCATGCTGGGAACAGGCAGTGTGGTGATGTACATGGTGATGATGCGGTACAGATACAAAGTTCCCATCAGGAAGAAAAACCTCCGACCAATGATGGATCTGAACACACACACACACACACACACACACACGAGGATGGCATCAATTTAATTTAGTGTCACTGAAAACAGGAACAACTGAAAACTTTATTTTAATTCATTTTTGTCCAACAACTAAACTTGTTATGATCAGGAAGGCTGACACAGAGCTCATTCTGACTCCAGGCTGAAGCAGTTTTGCCTTGAGGTCCAATGTGCCAAGGGCCAAAATACAAAATCATATATTTTGATATAAATATAATATATATAATACATGAACATCGCAAGAATGTTATTATCAATCTAATGGGTGGAGAGGAACAACTATGGAAAGCAGGAGCAGGAAAAATAAACAAAAATGGAAAAAGAATCTTTGTTTCTATAGAAATGAACTGGAATGTTATTACTACTCAGCTAACCATGTCTTAAAATGAAGTTAACCCAGAGTTTTCAGTCAGTTTTGTTCTAGATTTTTAATTACACTCCGTAATTAACATTGATTGTCTGATGTTGGTTTGTGATCCCTTAATAAAACCTCACTTGTCCCTAAACATTCTTAAAGCAGCCAAAACCATCTGTGTCTGTAAACGAAAGTGAGATCTGGAGAAAATGAGTAGAAGAGTAAAATCTAAAACCCTTACTTGTGTTTGAGTAAGAGCCACTGGATGAACCAGGCCATGACCAGGATCATGCCGTTGACCTCAGTGATGGTGAAGGCCCACTTCACGCGGGGCACGTAGTCGAAGAACTTATCTGGCAGTGGTGGGTTCACTGACTTATCGGGGACCCTGTCGTTGACTATGGTGATCATGACGGTGGTGCAGAACAGGTTTAACACCGCCCACAGGAAGGTCACACCTGTTTTCCACCACTCCGGTGGCAGCCGGTCCAGCCTGGACTCCGGAACACGGATCCGGATGTAATCCTGGTTCTTACGCAGGACTTTCGCAAAGCCTCGGGACAACCGAGAGGACCTGCCGTTGCCTTGGCGGCCATTGTCGGGCGTGTCCTGTGAAGGGTGGGTCAGTCTGGAGGACGTGGTTTGTGTGTGGGGACTGTCCGTGACCGTCACTTCAACGTGTTGGCAGCTGCTGTCGTTACTGTGCTCTCCGGAGTCAGGAAGCTGAGATGCCGCCATCACACACACCAACACACACACAGGGATCCCCTACCGGCAGGAGCGGGGGCTATGAGATGTCCTGAAAAAGTCAGTAATCTCCTCAGAGGGACGGAAAAGTCCACAGAAAATGTCCTCTTGTGAGCTTCTGCTGCTCCTCCTGTGAGAAAGGTTATCTCCACTGACCTGGGCGAGGGCAACACAGACAGACAGACAGACAGAGAGAGAGAGAGAGAGAGAGAGAGAGAGAGAGAGAGAGAGAGACTGAGAGAGAGAGAGAGAGGGAGAGAGAGAGAGAGAGGGAGAGAGAGAGAGAGAGACTGAGAGAGAGAGAGAGAGAGAGAGAGAGAGAGAGAGAGAGAGAGAGAGATTGTGACTCATCAGTGAGAAACAGAAGTGATGGATGTTGGGGAGGGGTAAGAATTCTTGTTCTACTTCCCGTCACAAAATAAATACTGCTGAAAACACGCTCAAGTAACTGGAATGTTGGCAAATTGCCCAGTGAGATTAAAATACACTACAGTTCAACAAATCGAGGCGACACAATCCCACATTTTCCTTTCCCACTGAAACCCTGATTATCAGTGGATACCATCCAATATGGGCCTGTTTACACCTTGCATTAATGTGTTTTTCTGATCAGATCAAATTCAGATTTCACTTGAACGCATGTAAAAGCAGGTGTAAATGCTCCCAGGACGCTCTGTGATCAGATTATGATTGGATCATTCAAACCACAGTCAGAGGTGATCAGAGACGAACACTAACCACATTTAAGACAAGTGTAAACAGAATGTGTTTTTGATCTGTACACAGTTATGTAAGTTAGAAGTCCACGCGTCTGCTGAACGCTGACTCGTAGGTGAGAGAATAAACATTGAAACTGAAGATGGAGGACACGCAAGGCTGAAGTTAGATCCCAACCAAGCGCCTTCATCCACTCCAGGCTGATGAAAGCATCCAAGCAGAGCTTGTCGACTCGTATTGTGAAGAGAGAAGAAAGTAAACAAGAGTATATTGGAAATAATGAAAGTGTTGGTGTGCTTTGAACATGGCGATCTGACCTAGTCACTTCAATAGTTCCAACTGTGATTCAGGGAAACACTTGCATTGCAAGTGGTCCCAACTATGCTTCTGGGAACCGCCCCCTCTGATCTCTTTTGAACACACTTGGGACGCATTATAGCAAAAAGTGTAAATGGAAAAGTCAAAGTTAATCCAGAGAGTGTTTCGGACAAGAAATACAGGTTACTACAAGGTGTAAACAGGCACTATTTCTTCTTTAAAGTGCCCACATCTAACATTTTTCATGCATTTCTTTTTCGCTTACATCCTTTCATGACATTTGTGTGGTTTAATGTACCAAAATCATTAAGACAAACATACATACATACATACATACATACATACATACATACAGTTTCTGTTGGAACAAAACCTTGTATCTCCAAAATGGTAAGTTGACAGGAGAAGAAACAAGGTTTTTGTAACGTGGCAGAATAACTCAGACGCTCGCGGTTAAAAACGAGAATGAGGCTTTAATGTTAGAGTCGTAATCCAAAATAGTGGTCAAAAAACAGGCAAAGGTCAAATCCAAAGACAACCAACACCAAAAGACAAACATAGGGCAAACAAAGTCCAAAGAGCAAAGGCAAAAGAGCAAAAGTCAAAAACAGCAAACAGAGTCAAAAAAACGGAAAAATCACAATAGAGAGAAGAATATAACGATCAGTAGCTCTTGGAAAAAGAAGCAATACCTCGCAACAAACTAGACTAAAAGCCCAGGCTTTATACTAAACTAATCATGTTACAACAGGTGTAACCAGTTAATACTCAGGAGACTGAGAGCGGTGATTGGAGCAAGATGGAGGACTGAGAACCATGTGATCCCCCTGGGGATTCTGGGAATTGGAGTCCCTAGAGGCCTCTGAGGCTGAGGGACGTGTGACAGTTTTTCACTTATAATGGAAGTTAATACAGAATTTTTCGAGCATTTCTATTAGTCCATGACAAAATATAAAGGACAGTTGTCATTTTTAAATCATGTCAAAAAAATTAAAAACAACAAATATGGAGATACAAGGTTTCATCCAAATAGTGCCACAATAAACAATGGGGAAAACACAAATGAACACAACTGAACTTATAACCATGTTCAGAATATGATCTCCTACATTAATATCACATTTACTGTAGCTATCATAAATGAAAAGGTTCTGTAAACGCGGTTGGTGAGCTGCGCTCAGTGCTGCAGGCAGATTTCACGTCTGCAGGAAGGTACAAAGCCAAACTGGTAATATCAGAGGTGAACTTGCAGAGTCATGCAGAGCAACTGCTCAATTAACTTCATCAAGGTTCACACTGGATTAAACTCACAGATCTCATCACCTCTCACTTAAACTACAGCAGCTGCCAATGAAAAATGCTTTGAATGCATCTGAAAGGCATCTGAAGCTGATTTAATCACCAAGTTCAGTTCAGCAGGGCAGATTCCAGTGCTGCCGTATGTCACTTCCTCCTCTATCGCACTGATTAAACAGTGTCGGAAGCAGTTATCAACTTTTCACGTTCCTGCTAACAGATACTATACGCACAATCCAGGGTAACTCGCCAACACCCAGGAACCGGCTAATCCACTCATCATCATCACTGGCTATGATGGCCACTGCAGTGCCCAGCTGCTGGTGACTGACCGATTTGCGGGAATTCCACATTCAACTCTAATGAATACTCTCAAACACACTGCATGTGCATAATGGTCATATCAAAATCTCTGTGAATGGAAGCTGTTCTTCACAATGTGTTAACATTTCATGATGAGTGGAAACAGAAATACTCCAAAATGGCCTGAAATAAAATCCTGTTACATAAACACTCATTAAAGTTAAAAATATTTTCCCTTATTCTTGAATATGATCATTTACCACAGATTTGTTATGATTATGTAGGGACCGTTGACTGTTTTCTGTCTAATAACAAGTAATACGAAGGTTAATATCTTCATACTAACAGCAACACTTTAATAAACACTTAAATGTGTTTTAACCACAAAAATGTGAGTTCTTTTGGATTCTTACACTGAAACTCAGAAATGCAGACAGTAAAAACATAAAAGAATTTTTGTACATTATTTTTAAACAGCAAAGCCAGTTTAAGCTTGTATGAGTAAATCAATTGCAGGCATTAAATGATTAAAATTCACTAATATTAAGCCTCTTTCATCACACACTTGCATAATGCCTGTGTGCTTATGTTCCTAGGCTATACATTTCATTACGAAATTTCTTTCAACAGCAAATACACATTCAGTTTCATTGAAACCAATACATTAAAATGATTGGTTACTTTCAATGTTTTAATGTAGTCGTTTTTACTTGGAAAAGTTGATACTTCAGTATTTAAACTCCACTAGGCAAATCAGACTGACAACAGCAGAGTTTCTAGGAAAACTAACACATTTGAATACACAAAAATTATACATGGTTTCAGGGTTGCGATGGATTTTTTGTGGTTTTTTAAGAATGTCATGGAACATTATTTTTTCATCATTATTATTATTATTGCTATTTTTTTATTATACGCATCCACATTACCACCCAATTTTGCCACGTCTAATTCCCCCTGCTACCTAGCTTTCCCTTTTAACACAATGCTACCAAGCTGGGAGGGTGAAGACCAGCATGAGCTTCTCTGAGACACCTCAGAGGCAAACATAGACTCGGAAAAAAGATGGTTCTTTAAGGGCTCATTAGTAAAGAACCATATAGAACCATGAACATTCAAAGAACCCTTTTCATGAACAACAATTACGACTATACAATTACAATCGTAACAAGGGTTGCTATATATGGTGCTATATAGAACTCTTTTCAAAAAGGTTCTGTAGAACCATCTACAGCACATTCTCCATCAATTTGAACAACACTTTCAAGATGCAAAGACTCTTTTGATCATGCAAAGGGTTCTTGGAGTGTTCATTTAGAACCATTTACTAAGGAACCCTTGAAGAACCATTGTTTTTAAAAGTGTAGGCTAAGTTTCAAACTGCTGCTAACTCAAGTCTGTTAAGTTATCTAGGAGATGCTCGCATTGGTTGGCATCGCGAGAGAGAGAGAGACAGAGAGAGAGAGAGAGAGAGGGAGAGGGAGGACTATTATGATATTATACTATTATAACTGCAATTTGACAGAGTGCAATATTCAAACTGCAAGAGCTGCAGCTTTTATTGTAGCCTAGATTATTTACACTGTCTTAACTTGTTTTAAGTGCAGAAATCTAATCTAAGACCACACAGCCTGTCCCTCACCTGTAGGTAAGTTAGACCAATCAGAAGCTACCAAACATCCAACTAACTGGCAGTCTGATGCACTTCATTCTGTGTTCAAGCCTCAAGAAAAAGTGGATTTCCTGGTGTTCATAGCCAAAAAACATCTGGAAAAAAATGAAATCTCAGTTGCAATTTGGGTCAGAAATTGGTAACAAAATTTAAAAAGCATAAATGTAACTGTAACTGATTCTCAGCAATAAAAAGTTCAGGTGCCTCTCATCAGATTACATTTTGTTGATTTTCTATGAAAATAAGTGAACATCCTGTACAGAGAACAAACTTTGGCACATTTTAATACACAATTACTTGTTATTTGCTGAATTTAACACACTGTAAAAACTGTGGCCCACATAAAAGTTATTTTATATTCAATAATAAAATACATTTATTAAAATATATATATATATATATATATATATATATATATATATGTTTCATTTAAATGTGTAAATAAATAGAAATTGTGCACTAAAACTTGCCAAAAAAGCAGCACTTATGTGTGTTCTCTTGTGAGAATGTTTACATTTATTTTTTATATAGAAAAATCAACATTTCACAGAAGGTGAGGCTGTTTCTAAACTGAGCTTTGGGAACAGCCACACCTTCATTCAGCTATGATCTCTATAGATACCGAGAGCAGGACCGTATATGTGCTGGTGCAGACAGAGTGTGGGTGATGGTGTGTAGGCAGCAAACAAAGGCGTGTCTGTCAGAAGGAACGTAACAAAAGGCTTTAAGGTGCGAGAAACCATGCGCGTTTGACCGAAGGTAAACCTCAGCAGACACACCCGCTGAAACCTGTCTCTACTCATACCGTCACATTCTTTCTCTCAGCATGGCCTTCACGTCCTTCCATTTCTCTCTCTCGTTCTGCAAGCTTCAGAAAAAAAAAAATCAATAGAGAAAGACGCTGCAAATCAATCCTTCGTGTTGACAGACTTTAAACTTTGAGCCAGCTATCAAAAGCACTGCAGATCACGAGAGCCACAAAAATCTTCCATGTGACTTCAGTAGATAATAACGCAGAATAAGGCCTTCCTAAGCATTTTTCTGAGGCCTATAGGGGGACGAACGCTTTTAGAAACATGTTTTCTAGAATGTTTTTAGCTTGATACATCCAGAACTCCACCACTACATTAGTAGTGGTGCAGTAATTTGAACACAGTACAGGAAAATCAACCTAATGGATGATAAATCTGTGTGTTCAAGTTGAAAACTTATCAACACTACAGTCTTCTCTCATTCTGTCATTTGTGGAGGTCATGGTCAATGATCAATTTCACTAAACCATTAATTCAGACATGAAACTTTTTAAAAAATTGAAACTTAGTAAGTTATAGTTAACAGAGATGCACAATTGGAACTAGCCATTATCAGAATCAGCAGATGACTCACTGAGTTAAACAGCCAGCCGCCATCATTCTTTCACTGCAGCATTTGAGTCAATTTAACTAAGCGACTCATTATTCATTTAAGAAGTTATAATGCCAGTCAGACCTTTTAAAGAATAAATAATGGCATTTATATAGTCACTGTCAAAACAAAACCTTGTATCTTCATTGTCATTTTTTACTCTTTTAACATAATTTGAAAGACTCGTTAACTTTTTTCTTTGACCAATAATTGACCAAATTCTTTTTATACTCCCATCATAAGTTAAGGATGTTTTTTTTTCCTTTCTCTTGTAAAATTAACACTTTGAAGATAAGAAGTTTTGTTCCAACAGCAACAACATTGTAATTTTGACTAATAGAAAGTACTGAAATGTGCTAGTATGTTTCATGTGTTCACTTAGTCCACATGTAAGTTTAAAAAGGAAAGGCTAATAAAACTCAGCCAAAAACTCAACAATCAGCCAAAAAATGTATTTTTCTGAACCAAAACCAACCATCAAGAAATATTTAGGATACAATATAAAAAATCCAACATTGATCCCAGACTCAAACCCTAAACCATGTGCTCTGTTACAGCCTAAACATTAACCCAGGCTACACTTGTGTTATCAATCGTCCTAACCTTCAGCTGTCCTAGGATAGATTTGACTCCTCTGGAAGGAACCATAATAGCATCCATCTAGAAGCTAAAATGGACAAGTATTGATCTCATTGCTTAAAATATCTCCAAACTCCACCAATCTACGGAAAACGCACATGGCCAGACGCTCAATCCAGGAACTGATGCTCGTCCCAGAACCCCCCCTCCTCCCCCAAGATCTCCAACACACACATGACTGAGTGATAAAAGCTAATCATTCCTGGATCTACACCAGTTTAACTGCTAACAGCAGTTGTAAAAGTACATGTACACAGGTACAACACTCATAATACCTTTTTTTCATACTTAAATAATCTACTTTAGCCAGTTATATTTTAGTCATTTCAATTAAGTTCTCAGTTCTCCCATTTCACTTTTTAGGGGTTAATTTCATTGTGCTGTGTTGGTCTGCTTTACTGCTGACCACTCTTCAGCTTAAGCTGACCAAAAGCTGGTTTTAAAAAGAGTCGAACAAACTTCAGTTCCAATGTTCACAGGTGCTGGATGGTGTAAGAAGCTCCACTGCAGTCCTCAGTCCTCTTTTCTGCTGTGTTTGTGCTTCTACTTAAGTGGTTTGTGGAAATGTACTTAACTGAAGTAACAAGCTTTCACTGGAGGGTGGCTTTGACACGCTCTGCACACCTCCTCTCATGCACTAAAGCTAATTCAATGGTATTCAGTGTTTATATGATAATCCAGTGCTTCTTGAGGTCACCAACCTGAATCAGTGTAACTGAGATGAGGAAACACAGCTCATTAGTCCAGACTAGTCCAAGTCTTGGATGTTTTGGTCAGTTAACTCAAAAAGAAACTCCTCCAACTGATGGTGTTACACAACCAAGTAAACACCCTCTCTACTCTACTCGCTACAGCCCGTACAAAAGCCTGGCAACACCAGACTGAGACATTCCAGGTTTCAGAGAGGAAAAAGCAGCCTAAACAAGGAGAAGTGCGCGTATGAAAAACTCTGCTGAGGGGATTGAAGGACTCACCGAGCTCGCTCTGCAGTCAATCTGGCTGTAGTTTTAAATAACGAGCCTCGCAGCTTCTCGTGTTTTCCTCCGGACCCCACTCCGAACTGTCGAGGCAGGATCTGAAAGCCTTCACCTGTCGTCGCCACGCCCACTTGACGCGTAAACCCCGCCCCTTCCGGACAACACTGCACCTGCGTGTCTGATGAGTCATAGCTGAGAAACAGCGCTTTTGGTTTCCCTTTAGACACCTGTGTTAGTCATATTTTCTATATTGTTCAAAAATATCAAAACATCATACATATGTTTTTAGATTTATTTATTTATTTTTTAATTTTTGTCTTTTTTTTCCAACCTGCTGTTGAAGGATTATTTCGCCTTGGTCCTGTAGAGGGCGCACTACGCCAAAGAGAAGAAGATGGAAAAAATGATTGGCAGAATATACAACACATAGTCATGAACTAAAAAAAACTGCCGGGGCCACATCAATAACTACATAAACACTTAAACACTTAAACAATGTATTACAGGTCTGTATTGTTGAATACATACATTTCCAAAATGTAAATGAAGTCAGGTTTGTGGATTTAGAGATTGGGACTGGGGTGCTGCTAAACTAGTGGAAAAAAATGGGGGAGGGAAGTTGTGAGAGGCAAAGCGATGTATACGAAAAGGCTGTGTGATTGGGTGCCCACTGCTTGCCAGCCTTCTGGACCAGTTTGACCACCACGGAGCAAACCTTACCTGAATGAACTGACCCTAACCTAAACCCTGATGATCTGCACAGACTCAAACTATCTAATCATAGCTATTGCTTCACCTGCTTTTCCCTTTGTCCATGTCGTAAACTTATACTAATGGTCAAACTTTATTCTCTGCTCATATTGTGTAATTGTTTACAATCTGGTGTCGACCAGAGGAGGATGGGTTTCCCCTTTTGAGTCTTAGTTCCTCTCTCGCTCTTTGGGGGCTTTTCCTGGCACTGTCACGCTTGGCTTGCTCATGGGGGCTTGGACCCAGATTTTTCTGTAAAACTACTTTGTAAAAACACCAGTTGTAAAAAGTGATATATAAATAAATGTTGACTTGACTTGACTGGATGATCCTTTTAAAACTAAGCACCTGAAGAGACTCTGTGACACTAGGAAGAACATGAATGTCCTCATCAAGCAAGCCATTTCCAGTGGAAAATGACCTTGAATTTTCAAACTTACTGAATGGTCATTTTACTAGTTTTAAAATGGTGGACCTTGATGATAAATGAGCTAATATTCTTAGTGCTTTTATACCAACCAGTTTAAATAGGACAATAATCTCTGTTGATGATGTGTTTAGTACATTTAGATGCAGTACATTAAGAAGCTACTGGTCCAGATAATATCATTTTGTTTTGTTCTAAAATTGTTTGCAGTAAAACTGGCCCCGGTTTATGGGCGAGCCATCTTTCAGCTTTCTGTATATACACACGCTATTCCTAGAATATCGAAGACATCATGTATTACACCAGTCCCTAAGTAATCATGTCCTAAAGATTGCAGTGATTTTCACACAGTAGCGATTACATCAGTAGTTCGTAATCTTGTGAGCGGATCCTGGTTCAGCATCTTCTTAAGGCAATAAATGGAAAAAAATTGATTCATATCAGTTTACATACAAACAAGATGCGGGTCCATTTTGTGTGAAGACATTTGGACAGACCTCATTCATACTTTTTCTGGATTTTTCATCTGCATTTAACACCATTCATCCTGATATTCTACTGTCAAAAATGGTTCAATTAGATATTAATCCATATCTTATTTACTGGTAGAAGGATTTACTTATTAATAGAGTACAGCAAGTAAAAGTAAACAAAAAACCCTATCATTGTCCATTATTACTAATGTTGGAGCACCAAAAGGATGTGCTAGTTCTCTGCTTCTGTTTACGTTGTATACATATTATTGTAAAGCTCAGGAACAAATCATTTCATTTTGAAATATTCTGAGGATTCTATGTTATTAGCTCTGTTGATGCATAATAATGACATTCATCTCATTCAACAGGGTGTTACTAAGCTGGTAGACCGGTGTAACTAGAATGCTCCTATTATTAATATAATAGTCAGAGGATATTATTTTTGGTCTCTCTCCTGATTTATATCCACCTCCATTATCATTTCATAATCAGAAAATAAAACAGGCTATGTCTGTAAATACCCTGGTGTACATATACAGTAGATGCAACACCATAATTGAATAGTCATACTGATTATGTTTGCAGTAAGATACAGCAACTTGTTCATTTTCATTACAGGTTCAGATCTTTTGGGTCCAATAATCAGATTTTATTTTTGTTTTACACCACAGTAAACAGAATGTGATGCAATGCTGTGCGACAACATGGTACAACTGTCTTTTGTCTACTAGATTGCTTAGACTGATACAAAGATTGTAGGTCAATCTTTGGAGGATGGTTTTACAGCCTACAGGAAAAGTATGGAAAGAATAGTGTTTAGTATTTTGTCTGATCCATCGCATGTGCTACATGGTGAATACAATATATTGCCTTTAAATAGACGTTTTAGAGTACCGAAACGGAGACTTAATAGATTTAGGAACCCTTTTATCCCTCAGTCAATTGTGATACTTAATCAAAAGAGAAAACTGTTTAAATAAGTACAAATTTAGCAACATATGCACTTATTCTGCAGCATTAGGGGTTGTTGGGAGCATTGTGCAATCTGGTTATGGTGTAAAGTGTACTGTTGTGATTTGTTGTAAGGTGTGTTATGTGACTGTGAAAGTCCCCTCCAATCGAGCTGCAGTGATGACAAATTACAGAGCAATCTGACAGTAATGTGTATCGTATCACACTGTATGTGATTGTAACACTAGCCTACATGTGGTTCTGCATGACAACCAACAATGTACGACCCACTTGTCCAGCAAATTGAACTGCAATTTGGTTTCATTTTATACAGAACCCACCTAACATGTCTGTTTATAGTAAAAAACTAGATCATTTTTTACTACCTAAAAATACATATTTTAGTTAATTGAGAAAAATGTAGGTTATTATACCTGCTTGCTGTGTCTTCTTATCAGATTACCCGTGCAAAGCACTGCTGTATCAAGAAAGCGGTAAGAGAAACTTCAACTTAATTTTTGTACTCTTTTTATATAAATTTAACGGAATTAAAAATAAAGTTTTTCAAATTTTTGATACTGTGTAATGTGGTATGTCCAGTAAGTACATAAGTTAAAATAATTACTGTGAAAGAACTGTAGAGATAAACCTCACAACAATTTACAGGGTGATTCAAAAAGATTCATTCAAGTTCAAAATGATTTATTTCACTTGTAAATCATTACAGAACAATGCAGTAAACTGTAAATGGTTTAAATGAGCATAAAGTTTATTACGTAATTTTACAAGTGCTCAATATGAACCTCCTCCAGCTGTACGGACAACATCAACGCTATAGTCAAATTCATCCCATACTGGATTGAGCATGTTGGGTGTCACTGTATTCACAGCTCTTTCGATGTGATTTCGGAGATCATCCAGTGTTGTTGGGAGTGGCACATAAACAAAATCCTTAACGTACCCCCACAATAATAAGTCACAAGGTGTGAGATCTGGTGATGCTGGTGACCTTACTCTTTTACAGTTGTAAAAATATGGCGCTTTGAACTCTTTTTTAATCACCCTGTATTGTGAACAAGGTGCTAAATACCGGGTGTCCTGGGGGGATCCAAGACCTCCTGAAAATCAAAACTCTGAGGGGGTTCTGAAAAAACTTATCATGATGTTATGCTATCTATTAGGGAAAAACAGAGCTTCCGTATTCGGTGTTCTTAACTAACTAGAGCTGCAGCACTGCTCTGCCTCAGGGTGGCGCTGTAGCAGACTGGTTCACCCAGTCTGCAACTGTAACTCTGAGTGGGAGACCTCTGAAAAGCTTTACAGTATGCCGCTGCATATTTATACTTCACCCAAATTCCCAAGCTTCGTTGAAAAGAGTGAATTCTTACTCATTTCTCACACCAAAAACAAAAGAAACGATGTGTAAGAACTGAGTTAGTTAGCAGCCCGACAACACAAAAGAAGCCAGCCAACAAAGGAACCCCCAAATACCAGGGGGTATTTTGCAAATTGTGAATATATACATAGGTCATCTCTTATTCATAGTCTTTCTACTAGAAGGCCTTCCAGGAGCTCTTCCACCTTTGAACGCTGAGGTTGGCTGTACATGGTGAAACATGTTTATGCAGTTTTAGTTGCTTGAAACCTACATGAACCTACATTTATGAATTGCACTTGAGTTGTACAATGTAAAGCATCCTGCAACTCACTTGAAACTCTGGAAAAGGATTTATGAAACAGCAAATCAAACTGCCGATACATGCATTGTGATCCTAACAAATTGCATCATTTCATGTGATTAGTTTCACTGGATAAATAACCAAGAAAATAAAACCGAATCTGGCTTATTTGACAGTTCATGCAATAATGGTACTTTTGGTACTTTTTCATTTTGTCAGCTTTCTGAGACCTGACAACAAACAAATAAGTTTCTCAAAGCTAACATATCTGTAACCAGCTGAGCTCACTAGCCAGCAAACTTTGACAGCTATTCTTCTTTAGCCTTTTGTCATCCTTATTTATGTAGTTTGATTAATCATATATTAATTGTAGATTATTCATTGCACGAGTGGTAGATGGATAAAAGACAGATATAAAAGTGCCACAAATGTAAACAACACAATGCAGATGACTTTATAGTGAGAACAATACAGTGTACTAAAAAAAACTGCTAATATGGCTAAATAATGGAGTAGTCAAATGTGTTGTGACTTTGTTTTTGTTTTGCTTTGTGTAACTGTCGAATTTCATGGAAATTATGTTGCATGCAACGAGTTTCATGGAAGTTTCTCCATTAAAAGCCAGTCTAAGCTTTTTTTGTTCTGGAAACAGAGATGAGAGTGAGTGTAGGAGAGTTACTTCAGAAACATACCTGCTTAGTAGCACGTTTAACATTACTCGATCTAGACCAGTGTTCCTAAGCAGAACACCAGCCACAGGATTTGTGCACTAGACAGGTGTAAGCATGGAATAACCTTTCTTTGATGATTCTGTCTCTCTAGTT